GTAAATTCTCCATATTTGTTTCACCATTGGGGTTTTCTAAAAAAATATCATGAACTCCCTGTCTAACACAGGGTTCAGCCAGGGCATCAAGTGGTTTGCTCAGGTTGTGAACAAGAACATACACTCCTCGTGGTGAGAAAAAGACAGGATGGGAAGCATAGTAAAGGTGTTGTCCTGCAAAGTCCCATAACTCTAAGGTTACGATGGGATCTTCTTTGCTGTTATCATGGACAGCTTGTCGACCTTGTAGAGTCATCTGCTTTAAATACTCCTTAGTATATTTTGTAACCTCAGCAGGAATAAAAGTGCGGTTACGTGTTGTTTTCTTTGCTTGTGTTGATTTTTTTTCCTCATTAACACCATCATTATCATCATCATTCACGAGGGACGCCGCAGGACGTGTTGTTTTCTTTGCTTGTGTCGATTTTTTTTCCTCATTAACACCATCATTATCATGATCATTCACGAGGGACGCCGCAGGACGTGTTGTTTTCTTTGCTTGTGTTGATTTTTTTTCCTCGTTAACACCATCATTATCATCATCAATGCGTACTTTAAATTCTTTTGCGCGAAATGGCTTCTTAACAACCTGCAATAAATTTGTTTGTTGTTTATTTTTTACGCGTCGTTTATTTATTAAAATAAACGACGCATGTATACAATTTTGCCGTGAAACACTTGAAGGAATTGAACAAATAACAACAAACTGATCCTCACGACGATCCAAAACAAAATTTAAAAAATACCTTGCCTGGTCCGTGCACGGCGTTTTCCCAGTCACTCTTGTTTCGGCGACCTATCCGAGGCGAAATGGCCTAGACAAAAACAGAATGCGCATGCGTGCGTTACTTTTTGAAATTCAAATATGACGTTAATGTTGTGAGCAGCAAGCAAGCAGGCAGCAGGAGATTTTGGTTATTAATTTAACCACTCTTGTGGATATTTGTAGGATCGACTTTTGCCGACCGGCTTCGAAAAGTCATCAGAATGTTATTCATATAGTCCTATGAAGATTTATACTGCTCCTTCAATCTGATCATTCCAACTGAGCTATCGGAGTTTGCCGCTCGCGAATTTTCAAAGTAAACACAATATTGATCCGTGTGTTGTAAACTTAGACCTCAAATCTTGAATAATTAGAAAAACCATACTTTCAAATAAAATTCATTAGCTGCGTATCAAAAAGTGCCCAGAAACTAAATCTAAAAGTAAAAATCCTATAAAATTCGCCGACATTCACAGAAGTGATGCGTGTATTATAAATGTGAGAAGCATTATTCAACTTGCATGCGTTGTCTCAGGATCGTGTTTTGAGCAAATGTTAATCAATGAAAGAACACGCAACAATAGACAGAGAAATTATTTCTCGAAAATTTTTATTCAAAGCCCATAAATTAATCCTTAAAAGCAATTCGCGTGACACAAATTTGGCTCGTGGATCCGTTCACGCAAGTAAAATCGGCTTTGCCTAGTCCCTAGGCCTCATTTTTCCTCGCGGCCAAAGCGCTTCGGGTCACGTGGTCCATGCAAAAATGTGAGGCGTAGACAAAAATCCTCAAAAGTGAGACAAAAGTGAGACAGCTCAATGGCGATGGTAAACAAGACCAGTGTTTCGAATTTCAAAGTTAAAAATACATCGCTAAAACACACAGATGGGAAAGGAATCTTCAAAAGAATTCTTAGTTTTCTTCAAGTTGACAAAGGAAGGCTTTTCCGGCTTTATAAAATTGTCCTTATCACAGCTGATCGGAGCGCTTTGCTTGTTTTGAAACGCCACCAAGCAGCGAAGTTTTTGAAGAATTTTCAGGTACATTTTGTACTCTATAGTCAAGAAAATTACGCATTTGTGAATATTTTATCTTTAACGTTTTATACATTTTGAGATCGGCTTGAGCGCCCTGATTTGAGATTTGTGTTGAATAATTTTTGCCATGTGCTCAGCCGATTTTTGCCTAGTCCCTGTACGGCGTCTTTTCAGGCCCTCTCGGTCAATGCATTTCGGTGGCGTATCCGAGACGAACGGCCGGGAGACGCCTAGACAATCTCGGAGTGCACATGCGTGAGCATTTTTGAAAAGTTCACACGGTCAACTGAAATAATCTATAAATAACTTTGCGCGTGAATATCCTTCGCTAAAGATCGGCACTATTGACACTATTACAAAAGTAACTAACCTAGTTCGTGTCATAAATGTGTTGCTTTGAAGAACAATAATTAATAAACAAAAGCGGAACTTTTACCTCCTTTTCCCACCAGAGTAGTAATGGAGCACGATCGTAGGAACAACGGGGCTCTAACTGTGGAGAAAATATCTTTCGAATCAAATATCGTGTTGGGATTTCCGAAAGAACAAAAATATTACTTTGAATCGGAAAGAATACTACTGTATAACGTGCAAGTAATTTCTCTTTTAGTCCATCTTCAAATGAACCATTAAAATTATAGTCTTTATTGATAAAAAAGATATGAAACAGCAGTTTGTTGACATTCTACCAAATTTAGAGACCAAATTCAACGGGCGTCGATTAAACCCGGAACATGGAACATCCCGGAACATTCCGGAACATCCCGGAACATCCCGGAACATGAAAAAATTAAAATATTTTTTTATGAAAAAATAATCAATTAATTAAATAATAATAATAATAATGATAATAATAATAATAAATAACAACAATAATAATAATAATAATAAATAATAAAAGGAACAATAGACAGAAAACAATTTTTGAAAAAATTTATAATAACAAAATAAATAACATAACATAAAAACGAAAAATAAAGAAACAAATTAAGAAAGAAAGAAAAAGAAACTGGTATCATCTCCGAGTATGAGAAAACAATATTTTGTCGCAATGAATTTTTTGCAGTGGGCGAGTGAGGGTCCGTTCAAATGACAGTAATGAGTGAAGGCTTGCTTCTAAATTCAAAATATATTAAAATGGGTCGCGAGGAGAGGGTTCTCAAGCTTTCGTCACACAGCCACCTCTTGTAAACGTTTGCCATGCGGTTTAACGGTTATCCATTTACGGCTTTGCGACCGCCGTAAGTTAGGGGCTCGTCGCTTTGGACTTGCATAATTAAATTAAAGAATCACATTCGCTGTGAATAGTTGCAGTGGCAGTGGTAGAGCAGCGGTAGTTTCTAACTGTTATCAGTTAGTCTGAATTTTAGCCGTCTCCCCGCAAACTCCTTTTGCGACTCGAGGAGACTTCTGAAATATCATGCTGACTGTAAACAGTATAGAAACTACCACGAAGGTGAGTATTGTCCACTAAAATCCAAAGACAGGAGCCCCTATACTCTTCTCAAGTTCACAGAGCCGCCTAGTCTGTAACTAATTCATGTTCAAGTAGAGCAAAGCACGTCAAGTAAGCAAATGTAGGATATATAAAAGGAAACTATATGTTGGCTTGAAATGAGCTACTTACCGACTTGGCTTGACATGAAATACTGCACCGACATTTTAGACCATTGCAGAACCGTACATGGAAAACCGCCAAATGATTAACTCACGGCAAACAATTACAAGAGGTAGTTGTGTGAGGAAAGCTTAAAAAACCCCCTCCTCGCGACTCATTTTAATATATTTTGAATTTAGAAGCAAGCCTTCACTCGTTACTGTCATTTGCATGAACCCTCACTCGCCCAACAAAATTTTAATTTGTTGCGACAAAATGTGGTTTTCTCATACTCAGAGAGGATACCAGTTTCTTTTTCTTGATTATTTCATTATTTTTCGTTTTTCTTTTGTTATTTTACGTTATTATTAATTTTTACAAAAATTATTTTATCATATTTTTTTTTTTCAAAAAAATTATTTTTATTTTTTCATGTTCCGGGATGTTCCGAGATGTTCCGGAATGTTCCGGCATGTTCCGGAATGTTCAGCCTGTCCGATTAGTTTGATAAGCTTCCAAATCCAAAAATTAAATTACATAAAGTATTTCGAAGTGAAATAATAACGAGAAATTTATGGGAGCAAGCGAAAATAGAGAAACGAAAGATAGCTTGTCATATCCAAGAATAAATATAAACTTATTTCTTTAGCTTACCTCCACGGCATCCGGCATCCTAGAACGTCTTCGCCGGTGAAGCTAGAGAAAAGGTGTTAAAAAAACCTCAGGATCCAAAACAACACGTTAATCAAAATATCACTTAGCCTGCGAAAACATCCGTTTCTCCTCGCTCTTCGTCGCTGAGGACGTTTCGCGCGGAGGAACGTCTGCGACTCAGCGACAGAAATTCCATACTGATGACGTAAAATCTGTCCAGAATCCGGTCAGAAGCGCTGATTCGTCGACGGAGCAGTTACATTGTTTTAGCTATTGTTTACAAATGACAGACAAAAGACAAAAGGCCAAAAAGGTCAAATGTAAACACGAAGAATCTCTAACAAAACAGTCAATATTTGTGCAATATAGTCTTCTCTAGAAGAAGCATTTGAGTTTTGCTGGAGCTCGTGGGGAGATCAACGCAACACTACCAAAATCGACCAGAAGACACGCAAAATTAGACAAATTTATATTTGGAACCCCATGACTACCGGATTTATTATGTAAACATTGATTTGCGTCATCAGTATGGAATTTCTGTCACTGAGTCGCAGACGTTCCTCCGCGCGAAACGTCCTCAGCGACGAAGAGCGAGGAGAAACGGATGTTTTCGCAGGCTAAATATCACTTGGACCTTTTCGCTAATGAAGAGCTATCACGCTGCTAAGCTTGAATTAGACATATATTGAAAAAGGAACTCGTGTCAATAAAGTATCAGAAGTGAGTGGGAATCGCACCTGGTTAAAGAACTGGTTCACAGGGATATGCATCTTTTCTAGTTAAGAGAAGGGAATCAGAACTGCTTTTCATGCTTTAATGTTCAACCTCCTTCAAAAAGCCAAATAATATAAATGCTGTTGTTAAAAAAAGCGTTTTACCTGTTTTCGTGAATTCGCTACCCAAAGATCACTATGCTCAAAGGACAGGGCAAATTTTCTAGGAGAGAGGCATTATTTTTTTTTCCCACGAGTTTACAAAGAGAAAATGCAATGATTATTATTAATGTAACCATCAGGTATACTCTACCCACGAGTTTACGGACAGCAAATGCAGTGATTATTATTAATGTAACCATCAGGTATGTTCTACCCACGAGGTTACAGAGAGCAAATGCGGTGATTATTATTAAATGTAACCGTCAGGCATATTCTACCCACGAGGTTACAAAGAGAAAATGCAATGATTATTATCAACGTAACCTTCAGGTATGTTCAACCCACGAGGTTACAGAGAGCAAATGCAGTGATTATTATTAAATGTAACCGTCAGGTATATTCTACCCACGAGGTTACAAAGAGAAAATGCAATGATTATTATTAACGTAACCTTCAGGTATGTTCTACCCACGAGGTTACAGAGAGCAAATGCAGTGATTATTATTAAATGTAACCGTCAGGTATATTCTACCCACGAGGTTACGGAGAGCAAATGCAGTGATATTATTAATGAACCATCAGGTATGTTCTACCCACGAGGTTACAAAGAGAAAGTGCAATGACTATTATTATCGTAACCTTCAGGTATGTTCTACCCACGAGGTTACAACTATCAGGTATGTTCTACCCACGAGGTTACAAAGAGAAAATGCAGCGTGGCCGAGTGGTCAGCGCGTCGGACTCGCAACGGTAGGTACTTCATATATGATTATTATTATGTACCTAAACATACTTATCATATCTTATTATATATTATTAGTAATATCCCTATACATCACCATACACCCCCTTACACCGCTATACATCACCATACACCCCCATACATAACCATAAACCTCTACACATTCCCATACACCCCTATACATCACCATACACCGCTATACATCACCATGCACCCCTATACATCGCCATATACCTCTATACAACACTATATACCCCTATACATCCCCATACACCCCTATACATTCCCATACACCCCTATACAACACCATATACTCCTATAAAACACCATATACTCCTATACAACACCCTATACTCCTATACATCACCATACACCCCTACACATCATCATACATCCCTATACATCACCATATATCCCTATACATCACCATACACCCCCATACATAACCATACACTCCTATACATCACCATACACCCCCATACATAACCATACAACCCTATACATCACCATACACCCCATACATCACTATACATCCCTATACATCGCCATATACCCCTATACAACACCATATACTCCTATACATCACCATACACCCCTATACATCACCATACACCCCTATACATCACCATACACCCCAATACATCACCATACACCCCTACATATCACCATACATCCATATAAATCACCATACACCTCTATACATGACCATACACCCCTATACATTACCATACACCCCTATACATCACCATACACCACTATACATCACCATACACCCCTATACAACACCATACATCCCTATACCTCACCGTACATCCCCATACACAACCATACAGCCCTATTCATCACTATATACCCCTATACAACACTATATATTCCTATACATCCCCATACACCCCTATACATCACCATACACCCCTATACATTCCTATACGCCCGTATACATCACCATACACCTCTATACATCACCATACACCCCTATACATTCCCATACGCCCGTATACATCACCATACACCCCTATACATTCCCATACACCCCTATACATCACCATACACCACTATACATTACCATACACCCCTATACATTCCTATACGCCCGTATACATCACCATACACCTCTATATATCACCATACACCCCTATACATTCCCATACACCCCTATACATCACCATACACCCCTATACATCACTATATACCTCTATACATCACCATACGCCCCTATACATCACCATACACCCCTATCCATTCCTATACGCCCGTATACATCACCATACACCTCTATACATCACCATACACCCCTATACATTCCCATACACCCCTATACATCACCATACACCCCTATACATCACCATATACCTCTATAGATCACCATACGCCCCTATACATCACCATACACCCCTATACATTCCTATACGCCCGTATACATCACCATACACCTCTATACATCACCATACACCCCTATACATTCCCATACACCCCTATACATCACCATACACCCATATACATCACCATATACCTCTATAGATCACCATACGCCCCTATACATTACCATACACCTCGATACATCACCATACACCCCTATACATCACCATACACCTATTTATTATATAGACACGAGTGTTTTACTGGAAAACATACCACTCGTAAAATTCATAAAAACTACATCCGGGACCCGAGTGGTTTATTTTCCATAATCTCACACGTGAGTTTATCGATGACCTAATTTCGGTAATTTCCCCTCGAAATTTGTAGGCGTCTTTCTTTTTGGCGAATAAAAATCTATTATGTTATCGATCTCTTTTTGTCTATATAATAAAAAGAACATTACACGGTGGTTTGAAGATATGAATCTTATTTTCTCGTGGCAAAAGCAATATTTATCTAAAATTCATATCTTTGGGCCACCGTGTAATATCTTCTATATACATTACCATACACCCCTATACATAGCCATACATCCCTATACATCACCATACAACCATATATAGTTTTTTTATGTGTGTCATTGTCCCATTTTATTTCTAGATGCCTTGCATTCAGTAAAGCATATATAGCATTAATTCTTTTCAAAGCTCGCCACTAGTGGTGTGCCTGCATAGCATGGCTGCCCTCGTGGCGGTAGAGCTGTCTGCAAAAAGTCCTTTAATTGCTTAAGTTCCAAACTGATAGTGGCTTAAAAAGCTCAATCTAACATCACGTCGCAGTCGCGCAACGGCAAATTAATAATTCTGCAAAGAATACTTCTGTGATGTAAGTGTAAAGTCGTAGTGTTTTGCTAATCCAAGCATATTCTTATTGTAAAAACTTGCAAGAGGTGACAGACCGCACATCTTCACCGGCGTGAAACCTTTGAAACCTTTTATATATTGCTCCATTGAGGAGACTTCTTTCAGGGATCTTACAGTTTAAAATTTGAACGATGATATCGCTTCATATAGCGGACCAAGATACGGCTCGGTACAGTTTATGTTCAGCAAGGGAAATTGTGTAAGTTGAGCAGAACCTTTAAAATGTTCAACAGAAAATTTATTCAGTTCGCGCGTATTCCTGTTGAATTTGTAGCCCGTTTATCAGATATATCTACTCAAAAATATAATAAGTTTTCCATAGCTGCCGTTATCTTAGAGTAACTGCTTTTCATATCTCCGTAAAGTTTAAGTTTACGCGATCTCAGAGAACAATGTTTAGCTGTACACAGCACGTAGCCTTTTTAAAAATATATCCAGATCTGACACTGGTTTTCGGTATTTATCACGTCTAAGCATGATTTAAGTACATTATGATGCTGCGTCCTTTGAATGTCGTTTTAAAACTCAATCGCTTTGTAAATGTCACTTGTAGTTTTAATATCAGAGGAGAGTATTTTAAAGCTCAATATTTTTCAATACCATTAGCATGTTGCTTTTTTACCAATCAATTGACTGGCTTCTTTGTGCCACTACATAATGTGGGTAGTTAAATATAAGTTTACAAGCAAGACCGGCGGTTTCGAATCTTACGATTCTCATCAGTTGCTATGTGGTGGGATGGTTGAGGTGAACTCTGAACCATTCCGTATTGCTTGATTTATTTGGTTTGTTTGGAGGATCGAAAATGGTGCGGTTTGATTGGTTCCTTGCAAAAAACCAATCAGGTTGCTGTAGGTTCGATCCGTGTTTTTCTCAAAGCTAGGTTGTGTTTTTATAAAGGTTTAAATTTGAAAAATAGGAGTCTTGCCTTGCTTTTTTGTAAAGTATAAAAACATCTTGTTAAAATGTTTATGGTGTATAAGTGTTCCTCAAAATGGCGAGGGACTATGTTGTATACTTTCGTTTCAATTTAAAGCAAGGCTTGCGTTGACTATACAGTTGTGTACTGTACAGAATGTAGACAAGATTATTTTTTACTGGCACAGCATGGTATAGTGGTGTATGGGAATGTATAGGGGTGTATGGCTATGTATGGGGGTGTATGGTGACGTATAGGGATGTATGTTGATTTATAGGGATGTAAGGTGATGTATAGTGATGTATGGTGATGTATAGGCATGTATGGTGATGTGTGGGGGTGTATGGTTATGTATGGGGGTGTATGGTTATGTATAGGGGTGTATGGTTATGTATGGGGGTGTATGGTGATGTGTGGGGGTGTATGGTGATGTATGGGGGTGTATGGTTATGTATGGGGGTGTATGGTGATGTATAGGGATGTATGGTGATATATGGGGGTGTATGGTGATGTATAGGGGTGTATGTTGATGTATAGGGGTATATGGTGATGTGTAGGGGTGTATGGTGATGTATGGGGGTGTATGGTGATGTATAGGAGTATATGGTGTTTTATAGGGGTATATGGTGTTGTTAATAATATGTTTAGGTACATAATAATAATCATATATGAAGAACCTACCCGCAACCGGCGGTCCCGGGTTCGAGTCCCGCTCTGGCCACTTGCTGGATTTGTGCTCGGTCGTCCCGAGTTCAAATTCTCGGCCAGCTTGTAAATAGCCAACTGGTTGCCTTCTGCCAGTTGGGGTTTTTAATCCTGTTATGTTGTATTTGAATTATTTGTTTCTAAATATTTGAGTGGAGTGCCTGTAAATTAGCTGGACAAGCTAAGTGCAATTTCCACTATAAACAAGCCTTTAACCTTTTTTTAACCTTTTTTAACCTGATTATTATTAACGTAACCTTCAGGTATGTTCTACCCACGAGGTTACAGAGAGCATGCAAATGCAGTAACAATTATTAGATTTTAGTGCAATGTTCTATCAGGTTGAGTTCCTCCATTAAAAGAGTTTTTTGCTAGGGTTAAACAAGTTTGGCTTTCATGAGTTTCAAGGTGCAAGAAATTATCAGTATAATTATAGCACACAAACATTGTCATCTAATTTTTCGCACGTAGCCGGAATAAGCCAAGAAATGAAGTAAATATGACGAAAAATTGTCCTCAGATGATCTCCATATTAAGTAAATTATACTAAACGTTGCGAAAGAAATTATTGTTTGTATCCGTCTTATCCATCGTAAAAGCGAGGGGTCATCGCATGACATCCGGTATATTAACCAGAGGTAATACTCACGGGTTTCACGAGTTGTATGCACTATTTTTCGCCGAGAAACAAATTTAAACTTCAATTCTTACCTTACAGTAGTCCGTTCTTTTACCTTGCATTCGACAACAAATCTGTTAGAGGCGAACAAAGCGATTCCGGCACTCTTCTTTATGATGAGTAGCAAGCCGCAGGAACTGAAGCCGCTTGACTGAAGTAAAATCCACCGATATGCACGGCATTCTCACTACAAATACAGTCGAACCCCGCTATTTCGAACTCGGTTAATTCGAAGTCCCCGCTATTTCGAAGGAAGATCAAATTCCCTTGGATTTACCCTTCCCCTTTACGCTTCCCCGGTTATTTCGAAACCCCGCTATTTCGAACTTTTTTCCATTTCCCTTGGGACTTCGAAATAGCGGGGTTCGACTGTATAAACAAACGTCGCGGGGAAAAAAAGACGAGGAGGAAAAATTGCCAGATCTTCGCCTCGGCAATGTATTCCAGCTACCATGCCGGCGTATCTCCAGAAGGTGGACTAGAAGTGGGACAAACCTTGTGATTTTTTTTTAGAAGCCCTTTGCGCGGAAACTAATTTATTCTTGGGCGAAATGAAGATTAACAATATGTATACTGAAATCTAATCCACGACAAGAAGATTTTCGCACTGTAGCGCGACATATTAAATGCCTATTTTTACAAGTACGCGGAGAAAGTGGTCCACTAGTTTAACTTTTTTAAGATGAATTTACTCCACAAAAGCAAAATGAAATGTTTTATCTCTATGTTGTTTACGTGCCTGATTAGAAGGCAGAAGGAAATTCATCATACAGACCCCATCAAAATGAAAGTACACGAATGAAACGGAATAAGTCTGGGACGGTTTAGTTTCTTCTCAGCAGCTTCTTTGCTTTTATAACAAAAATTTAATGTCTGTTTTAAACGTTGGCATATCAACGCGCCTAGTCACTGAATGAAAACAACAGTCACGATCACGTTCTTCGAAACCGACCAGACGCGCGCGACCTACCACTGTTATGGTAAGCAATTATCCTGAAGGTGTTAATGTTCCCGTGACAGTCTTCGCACTGAAGGTGTAAATGGTAAACCGAACGGTCGCTTTGATCAGAAAGACCTGTCAACTTTGATGATTTAACTGATTAAATTACGGGACAGAAATTTGACTGCTTGCGGCTCCTCGTGAATAATTTTTTGCGACGCTGTTTTGCTTAGCCTACGAATAGTTTTTGAGATGAAATAAAGTTCAAATTAGTTTAATGAGATACATGAAAAAGAAAGGCCAAACGCCTTTCAACAATGGAAACGTGCGTAGAATCTTTCATAAGCGCGGAAAAGTTATTGACAGCTCGCCCGCTTCCAAAAGCTCCGCCCCAAGTGAGACAAAATGTCTCACTTCTCCGAGTTTGTCTAGGCCTCAAAAACTTTCTCGGACCACGTGACCCGAAACGCATCGGCCGCGCATAATAATGAGGCCTAGGGACTAGACAGTTTAAAACATCACAAGATGACAAAAACTCTGTCAGCTGCAGCTATCAGTAAGCAGGTTTCCAGACGCTGATGAAATTTTCCGCATGAACTCACCTGTCAAATTTTGACCAATCAGAACATAAAAATTGGACTTAGAGCCAACCTCGTCCCCAGGGCGCTTTTCCCTGGCTTTGGAGGTGGGGTCAACGCGTGACAGTGACAAAAGTCAAAAGCGATTGCCTTCCCTGCATGTAAAAGCCGGTTGAATTTTCGCGTCCGAGGTCAGTTCGAATCAAAATTTTAAAAGTGCGGCTCATGAACACGACTTATTTCATATGCATTTTAAAAAGATTGAACTTGAGCCTGCGATCATTTGAAAAGTAGCAGCTTGTCAGCGGATAACTTCAAAAAAACACTCGAACTCAGTGGGTCGATACCTGAGCCCGCGATACGGTCATGCGATACCGGTCAGCAGAAACATTATTTTGACAGCTGTCAATGTTTCAAAACATGGATGTACAATATCAGGTTGCAGGCTCCCAAACTAGCTAGAAAGATAGGTATGCCTGTGGTGCGGACGGACGGAAGGTCGGGTGGTCGGTGAACGGTCACGTGATTGCCGAACTTTCTAGGATGGATAGGTTTTCTAAGCTATGGGGCTTCGAATTGAGCCCGTGATCAAATAAAATATCAGCGGAAAACTTTAAAAACTACGTGACCTCAATGGATAGAAAAGTGAGCCCGCGATAAGTCAGGTGATGATGGTCAGCGTATACTCTAGTTTGACAGCTGTCAAGTAACCTTCATTAGAATGGCGAATATTCGAATTAACAGACTACGAGTGTGAGTAAGACATATCCGTCCGGCTTGTAGTGGAAAATGCCAGATCGTGTACCTGAGCCCACGTTATTAGTTTTCTGATAGTGGTCTGCACATGGTGTCCCATTTTGACAGCTGCCAATTGACCTTAATTTGGCTCGCCAATATAACTTTAAACGACTGTCAGCCGACTGACAGCCCTGCCCGGCGTAGTTTCGTTTTTATGTTGAATTGGTAAGTGTGACACATTATATCAGCTTATATGTAGGGGCAAAACGACTGGTCTTTCATCTGAGCCCGCAAGATGGTCATGTGATAATTGTCAGCGGATGTCTAATTTTGACAGCTGCCAATCTAATCGTACTCATTCGGATGGCTTACATAACTGAAAGGCTAGCCAAGTCGTGCAAGATCTATTGTGACATTTGACATCGGCTTACATGAAGTGTTTGTACGGGCGGGCGGGCGGGCGCTACGTCATAACCAAATTTTCTCGGATGGATATTTTATCACCAAATTTTGTTACCCATGAAGCTCCGCTATAAATTTTATTTTGGATGCTCTTTCTCTCTTCGACGTGAGGATCAGTTCGCTGGTATCTTTTTCTACTAATCCACATCTTTTTAAAGATTTCGCCACTACAATAATAATAAGAAGAAGAACGATAACAATAACAGTAATAATAATAATAATAATAATAATAATAATAATAATAACCCCCTTATTGAGCTATTTTGAAAAAATAGCTCATATATCAGTGGTTTGAACGTATGTATCTTTGTGGCTTTCTATGTTCGGATGTCTGTTGCAGGGGCCAATAAGGTTGAAGGTACTATGAGTTGATGCGCAGGAACCAATGAGATTTTGGCATCTAACGTGACATTTACTCTTTTTTTTTTTTTTTTTTTTTTTTAATTTTTTTTTTTATTTATTTACAACACAAGCACTACTTACAAAATGTTACTTAACACAACTTACAGTGCTTACACTACTTACAAAACCGTACTCATTACTTTTTTTACATAGAAAGAAGAAAAAAAGTTACAATTACAATTATTGACGACTAATAACTTAAACTAAAGTGATTACTAACATAATTTACAATACTAACACTATAAACACAGTGGCAACAGAAAAGTATAAGAGGATTATATATAGATTAAGTATAAGTGTTTTTCTTTTTTATTTAGAAGGATAAGTAAAGAGAACTGAACGGCCTAGACTGTAATAATAATAATACTAATAATAATAAAGCGTTACGCGGTGCACAATATCGCCCATTTTTTATAAAAGTCACTTAAAGTTCTATTTTTGGTACAAATATATTTTTCTGTTTCGAATTTAATATTAATCCTTAACTTAAACCCTGCAATAATTGGACGAGTTTGTGATCTTCTGCAATCCCATATATATAGTTTGGCTATTAGTAGAAAGTAGTTCAGTAAAGGGCATTGTACGGCTATTATACCTAATAGCACATCCTGTAGACTAAGGTTGATCAATTCATTTGACAACGAGTAATAATATAATTCAAAATCCTTCCAGAAAAGTTTTGCATATACACAGTCAAAAAAAGAAGGTGGATAAGGGTTTCCGGTTTATACATACAAAAGGAGCATTTATCATCGGTAATATATCCTATTTTATATAACTTAGTGTTAGTATATAATATGGAGTTAAGGACCTTGTACTGAAAGGCCTTAACATAGAATTCAGAGCATATGATGTGCGGTAAAAGAAATGCTTTTTCTAGCTGATCTTCCGTCAGATTAAAATCCCGTTTTAAAGCTGAGGTATTTTTAGAAAGCTGTGCCTTTTTACTTATGAGCAATGAATAATAATCTTTAGATTTCTTCTTTAAAATATCAAAGTCGTTATTCTTAATTATCACGGAGGGTGACATTGTTAAAAAGGTGTGATCAGATGTTCTAGGATTAGCTTTTAAGTGGGACGGTACAGCATATCTGAGACCTGCCCATACTAAGAAATTGGTTTTTTCAATCTTTCTTATAATGATACTATGTGACTCTGCAATACTTAAATCAAATCGAAGATCGGAAACCAGAAGAAAACCAATGTCGAAAAATGTTTTGTAAAAAATTGGCTTATTATTTATCCTAATGTCTTTATTATTCCAAATAATATTATACCGCATTTTATCTGTAGAAAAGTCGTCACGAAAATCAGCCCACCATTGAAGCAGCTCGGAGTAAAAAGGTGATTTGATTAGAACGTCTTTTACATCGTAGTTACAATGAAATAGAAAGAGGCCCCCGAAACTTTTAAGTTGATAACGCAAGTAATTCTTCCATGTGCTGTCGTTTTCGCTAAAGATTCTCTTTAGCCAGGCAAGTCTTAAAGATTTGACCATCGTTTCTAGGTCAATCATTTTCAAGCCACTTTTTTGGTAGTCATTTATTGTTGACAAACGTGTGACCTTGTCAACACCTCTCCATAGGAATTTAAATATCAATCTGTTCAATTCTTGAACCGCCCACTTTGGAATTGTTAATAATGATGCCACGTAAACAAATTTTGGAACAATCAACGATTTGATAACAGTAACCTTTCCATAAAGGGAAAGACCTCGCGCAGACCATATGTGTACCAATTTTTTCACGCTGTCTAGTCTTTCTATAAAATTTTTCTCGTGTAGTAATTTTTGATCATAGGTGTAATAGACTCCGAGAGCTTTAATTGGTTCATTTGGCCATTTAATACCAAAAGGTTTTGATTTATTTTCCTTTAATGATCCGATCCACATTGCTTCAGTTTTTGAGGGATTAACGGCTAAACCTGAAATCCTCTTAAAATCGTCTAACAACCTGAAAAGGGTTTGGGCTGAGTCGATGTCTGACAGAACCACAGTTGTGTCATCTGCGTATTGAAGTAATTTTGTTTCCTTCTTGTCAATAGTAATACCTTTTATCATTGGATTTTGTCTTATTGCGATAGCCAAGGTTTCAACAGCTACTACAAAGAGATAAGGAGAAAGAGGATCACCTTGCCTAACTCCTCGTTCGACTGTAAAGTAATCAGAGATTATGCCATTGTTGATAACACAGCTTTGTATATTTTGTAAAAAGAAGAAACCCATCTAATAAAGCTCTGGCCAAAATTAAAAGATTCTAGACAACTTTGTAAAAAGCTGCGTTCTAAACTATCGAAAGCCTTCTGAAAATCGATAAAGATCAACAAACCAGGAATGTTTTCTTCAACAGTGAAGTTCATTATGTCAAAAATCGATCGTACTGTTTCGCCGATATAGCGGTCTTTTATAAATCCAGTTTGATTGTAATGGATGATGCTTGGTAGAACATTTTGTATTCTAGCAGCTATAACTTTAGCCATAATTTTCGCATCCACATTTACCAAAGATATCGGCCTCCAGTTTTCCAGAAAGGATCGATCTTTTCCTTTCTTTTCGATGAGCGTAATTACTGCTTGCTTTTTGAGAGCGCGACATTTCACCTTTTTCGAAGCATTCGTTAGCACAGAGAATGAAAGGCTCACAAAGTAAAGGCCAAAATTTTTTATAGAATTCGATGGGAATTCCATCGTTCCCTGGAGTTTTATTGTTTTGGAAACTATCCAAGATAAGTGCGCATTCTTCTGGAGTAATTTCACCTTCACAAGACATTTTTTGTTCTTCTGACAGTTTAGGAATGTTTAAATCTTTTAAAAAGGATTTAATTTCGTGCAAATTTTCATTATTCATGTTCTTACTCGAGTACAATTCTTGATAAAAACGTTGTTGTTCGGACAAGATCTTTGACGGATCCGTGGTAGACGAGCCGTTGATATTTAATTTTCTCATATGTTTTTGACATGATTTCTTTTTTTTCTAGGTTTAAAAAAGTATTTGGTGCTTTTCTCGCCATGCTCGTGCCAGCGGGCTCGCGCTCGAATAATTATTCCTTTAACCTTTTCTTCATAAAACAATTCGAGCATATCTTTAGCACAGTTAAGAAGATTTGCATTCAAAATACTAGGATCTGTTTCGAAAGCACACTTTGCATTAGCGAGTTGTTCTTGGAGTTCCTTTTCTCTTTCACTTCTTTCTCGAGCTTTTCTTTTGGAATACTGTATAGTGTGCGCTCTTATGTTGTATTTTAACCAGTCCCAAATACTTCGACAGTTCGAAAGGTCCTTACGACCTTCAGCTAACCAGATAGGTATCCTCTCCGTGATGCCATTAACGTAGTCTTCATCATCTAAAAGGGAGCAATTCATTTTCCAGATACCTGGACCTTTGATGTCATCAGATTTGTATACAAGTTCAAGAGTAATAGCTGCATGGTCTGTTCTAATTGCCGGGATTATATCTGCTGCTTTAGCTAGATCATGTAAAGAATTTGAGATCAGCCAATAGTCTAAACGACAAAAGATCGTAGGCAAATTTTGACTCCATGTAAAGCTCTTTTTCTGAGGATTCTTAACTCTCCATATATCGACGAGATCAAACTCTTCTAGTAGGTTGCTAATGGTTGATACAACAGATTTTCTTGGACTCAATTGGCCTCCTTTCTTATCCATAAGTGGATTAAGAGGGCAGTTGAAATCCCCTCCCATAATAATGTTTTCTTTTCATCAAAATTATTATTTCGCAAAATCAGAAGTAGATTGTTGAAAAAGCTCACGATATTCGAATCTTTATTCGGAGCGTAGATGTTGATTAGAACATACATTTTGTCATTAAATTCTGCTTTTATTATAACATATTGTCCTGAGGGGTCCAACACTTTTGAGTGAATTGTGCAATCAACATCCTTTTTAACAAGAATTGCCACCCCGCGTGAATTGGAGGTCCCGTGGGCCATAATAATGTCACTCCCCCATTCATTTCTCCAACACGTCTCTGAGTCCATTTTTGAGTGGGTTTCTTGTAAGAAGATGAAATCTGCTTTTTGCTTTCGACACCAAGTAAATATCGTTCTCCTTTTCTTAAAATTTCCAATGCCCCTTACATTTAAGGAAACTAATTTGCACGTGCTAGCGCACATTTCAGTAGTAGTAAAATACCAGTAAAACTGTGATTGCAGAAGAAAACAAAAGATATGATTAAAGAGCGCTCCGCTTGGTTTTTGCAATATTTAGATAAGAATAGACCGTTCCTCAAATTAGAGGAAATTAACGCGAAAAATTTCATCAGTACATATATATTAGAATAATAGATTCTATTGCCTTTTACGTACACTACACAAAAATGGAACAAGAGGGAAAAACACGATAATACACCTACCTCGTGTTCCAGATTAATATCCATCTACTAACAACCTAGATCCTACACAGAAGAAAGCTCCTCCGCCAAAAAAAAAGAAAACATATAATCAAAATAAAAAGGTGTCCATGGAGCAAAAATCTAACAAAAGGATGATGATCTTATCTGATGTTGTTTTGATACAAAAGAGCGAATAATTAAAAATCATACATAATATTGAGAAGAAAAGAAACTTATAACTTCGCCAGAAAATATTGTAATCGCCGTTCGGCAAACTAATGAATAAAGCTCAAACTCAAAGGATTCTTTTAGAGTCAGAATTTAATATATTTACCATCGATGTAAAGTTTGTCTGGTTCAGACTTGCTAAAGTTGGCCCGTCTACCTTCTTTTCTTGCCTGTTTTAATTTCTCCATCTGCGCTTTCCTCAGTTGATGTAGTTCCTTTGGAATGTCCTCAAACATTTTGAAGTTTGTGCCCTTTAGCTTTCGCCCTTGTTTGAAGACACGCTCCTTGTCTGAAAATCGTAGAAACCGAGCGATAATCGTGCGGCCGTCGTTACCAGTATCATCTTTTGGCTTGCCTAGCCTGTGGACCCTCTGGAATTCAATATGTTCGGCGTTCTCAACTCCAAGCGTATTTTTATAAAGTTCACAAGAACGCCTTTGGTATCTTCGTTTGCAGTTTTCCCTTCTTCAGCGTTTTGGGAAACTTCTGGAATTCCTTCGAATTTTAGATTTTCGCGTCGGCTATAGGCCTCTAAATACAGGATTTTCTTTCGGCATTCACCTAGTTCCTTCTTACGCTCGTCGAGAGTTGATTGAAGTCGGTCGAGTTCGCTGTCGACAAATTGGGAGTTGGTTTCCATATGTGTAAATTTTCCTTCGAGCTTTTCCTGTTTATCTTTGACTGATATGACATCTACTTCCACGGAAGTAATCTTGCTTTGCAGCTTTTTAACAGTTAAGCTTATATCTTCCATCTTTAAATCCATGCTATCCAGTCTTGCGATTATAAGGTCTAGTTTTCCCTCGACGCCTTCCACAGGAGTTTTGGCGGCCATTGTTTTCTCGGCGTCGCTTGAAAGTGTCACGTCCGGAGATGAGGCCTCTTTAGCTCGTTTTTCTTCAGGTGACGCTTCAGTTGAGCTACAGGATGAGTTTCTGCTGTATTTTCTCTTAGGAGTAACAAAAACAGAGGAAACCTCCATAAACACCGTAGTAAGAAAAGTGGCCGACGGAGCTTCCGAAAATGCGTCTTCACTCCATGTTGCTCTCCCCAGACCATCAAACGTGACATTTACTCGGCTTAAGGTCAAACAAGGGCACTTTAAGACCGCCATCTTGGCTCTCCACAATTGTTTCGTCTTTTATTACGGCTAAAGGTGTTTAGAAGCATAACACTGAAATATCTTTTTTATTCAAACGCTGAGTACAGTGATGGAGCTGTTTAAGGGTTCATATTTTAGTTTGAGTGATGCTTCAAGACATTTCTGACCTAATATTCGGTCATCGAGAACGGTACAACGCACATACCGTAAAATTCCGAAAATAAGCCCCGGGGCTTATATTTTTCAAAGGCCCTTTTTGAGGGGCTTATTTTTGAAGGGGCTTATATTCGGAGGGGCTTATCTACGATTGTATTAAAGATCGAGGTTTCAAAAGTTTTGCATCTAGCATGATAACTATCAGTTAGTGAAACAAAATGGAGTAGTTTGCTAGCCAGGACCCGCGCTCTTATTCTTTATATTTCGATTTGAATATTTGATTTCGGGCCAGAAAAGTTACCGGGACTTTCGAGAAACAGGCCCCAGACCGGCAAGGCGAAGTCTCCCATTTAGTACAGTACTTGTGTACCTGAATTACGTGTGCTTGCAAATCGATTGTGATAATGATTGTTGCATCATCACTTGCCTGTGCATTGCATTCAGACAAGAGAGGATAAAGGGGACAGAGAAGGCATCCCCCATACACACCCTATTCCACAGGTAATTCGTCTCGAGTTATTTTTAGAATCGGGATAAAGTTACCTCGCGCGCTGCGTGGATGTTTCGTGGAGGTTTCGCATGATTAAACGCCATGCAAAACATGTCGAGCGAAAGGTAATGAAAGCGTAAACAGATCGAGAGCATTTCTGAATATTGAAGCGAAATGAGTCGGCGCTCATCTGGGAAAAGGGAATCGCTCGACTCTTTGACAACCCGTGAAATCAGTTTAACTCGAAGTTATCCTAACCTCAGTGCTTTAATAAAATAAGAAATTTCGCCGGTAAATTGAAACCGGTCGTTTGTACCATAAAGCAAGTAGCAAGTAATATTCATGCACATGTAATTAGTTTTACAAATTTGAATTTTATTGTAGTTTTTTAAAGTTTTTAAGCGCTGTTGATCAGTGAATGTAAATAGCGCTCTAGAAGTTATTACATTATTATTATTATTATAGGACGCCAAGTGTTATTTTTGTTGAATAATAAAAGACTAATAAAAGAATAAATATCAAACCAGAAATTACTCTCTTCAAACTGTAAATTATAAATGATCCTGAGAGAATATTCACTGTGTTAAGGATTTTCCTGCTGTACTGTTAGCTCTATACAAGAGAGGAAGGGCGATTCTTTTTTAATTTCCGTTTCGCTGACACAGCTTTGGCGGAAATCTTTCTTTAGTCGTTTTCGTCGACAAAACGAATAGCAATATTGCTCTCCGCGTCTTCCGCCATTTTCTTCTGCCTCAATTCGTGAAGGACGCGTGGCTCTGAGCGTGGATCATCCACGCAGAACACATTCGCGCTATGTGATTGGTTGTTGTCTAATCCCCCTTGGGATCTGTGGTCTTAAAAATAACTCGAGACGAATTACCTATGGAATAGGATGTGTATGGAGGATGCCTTCTCTGTCCCCTTTATCCTCTCTTGATTCAGGTGATTACAGTGACATCAGATGGACCTTAAACTCAACACCAGGGCCTTTTGCGGTCACATACGATGCATATTAGTCGGTACAACACGGGCATTCCAAGAATGTGGACAGATTAGGGAAAAATCTCGAGTTACAGTTAAAAGAGTGCTGCTGACCAAAAATAGGCTGCGGACTTTTTCTGTCGCCAGTAACAATGAAACTATTCAACTCTTCTTGACTAATAGCTGTTAATAACATACCTTTTCATACTGATTGTGAAGGAAGAAGGAGCGATTGGGTTACAAATGTCATTATGTAAGGAATTTTAATTCTTTAGATAATGACTTTTCTGTAAGTTATCAGGGTCTCCCTGATAACTTACAGAAAATTGTCTAGCGTTTGTTCTACAGATACCTTAAAAGCATCAGCATTTCTTCTATTGTAGCTATGGGTCTGATTATTAAGAGGAAACTGAAAGTATTTCTAAACCTAATGGGTCGAGTGAATGTTCATAGGAATACATAAATTTGCCTTATTCTAGTAAACGAATATCATGAAATTTCAGCATACGATTCTCCTTGAAGATGGGATCTGAAGGGGCATCAAAGGCAGATTTATTAATATTTCTGATCACACACTTTTGTAGAGTCACAAGACGACGCAGGTTTTTTTTTTACAAATGGAAGCCCAGGCGATGTTGCAGTAAAAGAGAGAAGGATATAATAGTACAAGCTTTTAAGACCAGATTTGGATCGGAAAGGATAAAACTAGATTTATATATTATTCCAATAGATTTTGAAATTTTGTTCGCCACATGTAAAATATGAGCTTTCCAAATCAGATTTTCATCAAGAGCAACGCCAAGAAAAGCTGTTTCCTTAACTTGTTCAGTTTGCTTGTTGTCAATATAAACATGTAAATTTAATGTAAAATGTTCTTTCTTAGTTTAAAGAACATGAATTTGGTTTGGTTAAGATTAAGGGAGAGCTTATGACCTTTAAACCACACTGAGTAATTTTGGAGTTCAGAGTTTAAGGTATTAACTAAAATATTTGGGTCTTTATGAGGAACAAATAGGTTGGTGTCACCTGCGAATAGCACCAAATCAACAAGTTCTTATACTTTACTTAAATCGTTAACATAAATTAAGAAAAACGAAAGGCCGAGAATTGAACCTTGTGGGACCCCACATACTATTTTGTGACAAAAGGAAGAGTGGCCATTAAATTCATCAAATTGTAACCTACTGGTAAGATAACTTTTAACCCACTGTAAAGCTAGTCCGCGAATCCCATAATGTTCTAGTTTGTCCAAAAGGATGCTGTGATCAACAGTGTCGAAAGCTTTTGAAAGGTCAAGGAAAACGCCTATGGAAAATTCGCAACGATTAATGGAGGAGGAAATTTTATCGTACAAGTCGATCAAAGCTAATGTAGTGGAGTGGCCTTTCCTAAAACCATATTGGCTGTTTGATAAAATCTCCAGTTTATTTGAATAATTAATAAGACGGTTATAAATCACTCTTTCAAAAAACTTAGAAAAACTAGGAAAATTGATATTGTTCTATAGTTTGTGAATAACGACTGATCACCCGCTTTGAATACGGGAATTACACGAGCAATTTTTACTTCATCTGGAACTATACCGTGAAAAATGGACAAATTGATAACGCGAATAAAGGGCCCAGCAACAGAGTCGACGGTTTTCTTTATAACTGACGTAGGCATCTGAACATGTCATGTTTAGATGCCAAAATCTCATTGGTTCCTAGCATCAACTCATGGTACCTTCAACCTTATTGGCCCCTGCAACAGACATCCGAATACACAAAGCCACAGAGATACATGCGCTAAGAACACTGACATATGAGCTATTTTTTCAAAATAGCTCAACAATTGACATACATGAATTCCCTCATCGGCGACATCACAATACATACGACATTAAATACAGTTCAGTCTTCAATATGATTTTCAGACAGGATTAGGTTCTGAAAGATTACTAACCGTTCCATTACTAACCGCACTCGTACGTCCTACGTAGAAGACAACTGGGGCCATACTTTCTGTTTCACTGGATCCTGTTCTTTTCTTTTCCCTTTTTGAAGGAAGGAATAGTTCCACTGCTAATGACCTTGAAATTTGCTCAGAAACGTCAGATAAAATCGTATTTTTGCTGTCGAAATGCCAGTTTTGAACTCGATTAACATCAATATCACACTTTGAAGGGTTAATTCCTTCAGTGCTTTCTTCTTTTGGGTCAAATGGCACACCTAACAGTGACTTTTTTAGGCTAGTTTTTCCAGCACGATCTTGACCGATCAGGAAAATGCGACCCCTGTAGACATTCACATATCCATCTCTCAGGGCCTTTTGATACATCAGCATTGTACGTTGTCCTTGTAACAGAATTTCGTTTGGAACTTTAGCTACAAGATTGTAATAAAATACGATGCAAATGTTATTTTGTAGTTTTTATACAAGTACAGTGTTAAATGTCAAAGTTTTAGAAGAAAAATTGGCATTCCTAACTCATCATCTACCAGATTAATGGTCATTATAGTGCAGAAATGAACTAAGCAGAAAACGGACTTTGAACATCGTGATACTACTTCACTTTTAACCCATTCATCATTTCATACCTCCCAACTCAAAGGCATTTTTTTATTGCACGAAAACGTGCCATATACCAGGGAACAAAACTGACCTGGTCGGACACACTGAAAACTGTGGGAAAGCTGTGTTTCGTGGCGAAGAAACTAATTTATAATTTGTTTTATTTTTTAACTGGGAGGTGTAACAAAAGACTTCATGACTATCCACAGATTCAAAAGTTAGTACTACCTTAAGAGATTTCATCATTCACTCTGGCAGTGGAAAGGATAAGTGTATAATACTGAATACAAGTTTAACTAGGAGGGGAAAAATCATTCTTTTCCTTACACTTCTGCTCCACTTCGCTGGGGGTTATGGCTGTCCTTTTCAGCTCGGGTGTGATGACTACAAGAGAAACAAAAATGCCTTAAAAACGAATCGAAGGTTTTCAATTCCATTTTACAGCTTTTGATTTCTTATGAATTCTGGGCACCAATGTCTGTACACAAGCTGAGCAAGGGGTTTTTAAATCTGTTAATTGCGGAAAACAAGAGGAGCTTGCAATCCTAATCTCCAGGTTGCTATTACGCATGCTCCGCACGTATGTAGCCACCTCATAAACAGCTCATTCTCAATCTTGTTCCCAGAGTCTTCTGGCTTTTTGGTCAGCAGTGACAATGGCTACGTTTTTCTTTTTTTCTGTTCCCAGCACACAGTCCATCAATAACCTTTGCTATCACTTCTCTACAACAACCAGGTCTCTGGACTCCAAAACAGTAACGCCCATTAAGGTAGGACCCAACTGCAAATATAGCTAATATTCTGTGCTGATACGAGTGCTCCGCCATCTTGAGAATACCCAGAATTCTCAGAATTTCGAAAGTGCTTTCCAGGTGTAAGAAAATGGAGGAACGGAAGGTGAGATTATTAATCTCCTTAAATTTGTTCCTTTAACAACCATCGGTCCTTTTTATTGATGTGATTGTAAACAAATGCTTTCACATCAATCTGCAGCAAGAGGAACAATAATAACTTGAAGACAAGAACCAAGATCAACTTCTACATTGTCGCGATTGAAATGAAATTGTAGATTCTTTGAAAAACTGGAACCCTTGAAAATGGTCTACAATAGTCAGAGTGGTAATATTTTCAGGTTTGTGAATTCATCACCTGAGTTCAAGATATTAAGAGCGGTTGTCTGTAAATATCGAGAATTCGACGTCAAAACTGAATTTTCGAAATCCTTCAAATTGAGTCAGAAAAATCCCTTTGGTGAAACTTTTTCGAAAATCACAATCAAAGTTTCCAAAGAATTTTCTTTTTCGAGAAAAGCGGCAAAAAGTGAAATGCTGCCCCACGCCATATAGTCGCCGGTCTAAAACCTTTGAGTTATACCATTTTCAAAGCCCTTAGGAAGAAAAGCGGTTTAAGGAAACACGTTTATCTTTGGCAGGTATTAAAGTAAGGCATCCCAGTTACAATTTTTTTATTTTAAATTTTAATAATCAATAATGGCTGCGGTCACATTTACGACGTAACTAAAGTTTAACTTAAGTTAGTGTCAAGTTACGTGATGTCGTACCTAACTATAGTTAGTGCTTTCGGTCGACACTGCAGTCACACCACGCTGTTAGCAACAGTTAGTTACTCTGTATTGTTTTGGATCACCGAGGCGTAAATTTTCTAACTATAGTTAGAGCGAACAGAGAAGCAGTCACGTTACCGAAATAGCTAACTACAGTTATCCCCGTCTTAACTATAGTTAGTAGCTCAGATGTGACCGCAGCAAATAACTTTATCTAACTTTAAAAGAAATGTGCATAAAAACATAAGTAAGAATTAAGCACTATGCAACATTAAGAATTATATAAATCATAAAAATACAATCACTGTGCCAGTAACGATTTCCCAAATCATGCTAAATACGTTCCTTGCGGCTTAGATGGGATCAATAACTCTTTCAGGTAGTCCAGTGTTTTAAATTTAAGTCCTGACAAAAGAAAATTTTCCATCTCTGATATTGAAAAGAAGAGTGTGGCTAAATGTCGTGGGTCGTGAGTGTGGGTGTGGGTGTGGGTAAATCTCGTGGGTAAAAAAAGTATAGAAAAAATGATAAAGTAAAAAATAAAAAAAATCAATAGAAAAAAGTTGTAAAATATTTATGAAACGAAAATCTCAAACTCCTTAATTGCCTTTTGCCTTTTTCGTCACGGCTTCTTCGTCCTCTTCCTGATATTTCGTTAGCTATACGTGGGACTTGGCTCCCCTTTCACAACATCACTGTATAAAAGGCATGTTGCCGATGAAGATTTATCCATACCTGAGCTATCGCCGCGAAATAAACGAAACAGGTGTAAATTATACCTGCAATTTGCAGAAAGTATGAGACAGCCCTGAATCGCTGAATAGAAATAGCTGCTCTTTATTAATCTTTATTCGATCCACAATTCCAATGATCAGCTGAGATTTTTTAACACGATGGAAGGCGATAACCGTGAGAAAGGGGAAGGAAAAAGGACAATTTTGAGGTATTTCATATCTTTGGATAGAAGTCTTTCTTAAAGAAGTTTTAGGTCTCTTACCTTACGAAGGAACCACCATCATTCCTAACCTTTCAAGTGAAGAAGAGACTGTATGTAAATTTTATTGCCGTATGGAAATACAATTTTTCTCCATTCTTTTTTGTTTTGTTTTGCATACAAAATCTTTGCTGTAACGATTCGACATATCATTTCTTAAACTGAAAGGACGTTTCATTCTCAAACTCATTAATAATTCACTAAGAAAATACAAAGGAAATTAATGTTTAATGAGTGTTTGGAAATCGGATGAAACACTGCTTAGTATTTGCATCCTTAATTTCTCCTTCAAAAATGATTTTGTTTGAGAAGAAATATCAAACATTCGACACAGTGTTTCATCACCAGATGAAACACCTCGAAGTTCGTCAAAAATATTCCGCTGCGCGTCGTATTTTCAACTCTCTTCTCGGTGTTTCATCTGGTGATGAAACACTGCATCTCATGTTTGATATATTACGTCACGAATGTTGACATCTTTGAGAAAAAGCAGTTCAGTCTCCAGTTTTTCTATAGCCTGCTTCAGGTTTACATAGTGCGATAAAGAGTTTCTTTCGGTGATTTTTCACCTAAATGCCTTTTTAGTGTCCGTTTCTACTAAAGGATTCGCTTATTAGCTTTGCCGACCGCGGGGAAGGGGAATAGGACTGGTATGTACGCGGAGATTTTCGTTTCATGAATTTTACAAAATTTTGCTATTTAATTTGTAATTTTTTACTTTGTTTGGAAGACTTTTTTTACCCACGGCATTTACCCACACCCACACCCACGACATTTCGCTTTGAAAATAACATTTTGGCGGGCAAGGGGAAACGAAAAGAGAGCCTGATACAAACCTTCTATGAAAAGTCTTCCGCCCACTTTTTTGATTGATTGACATTTGCCGAATCAACCAACCAAAATTACTACCGTTGCTTGTTTTTTAGTATGCAAATTTTTCATACGTGGGAAAAATATGCAGACTCGCTGACTTGTAACTCACATTAGTTCCGTAAATAAAGCAAATCCTGAGAGGATATGAACAGCCATATGAATTTTCTAAATTTCCATGCCACATATTAAGGCATATTTTCCTACCATAAGACCATAAAACAATAAAAAGGACAGCAAAATCGACCTTTCTCTCTGCCGACGGCGGATCATTTACGAAAACAACCACGCGAGGAATAAGCGCTTTCAACTTCCGTTGATTTCAACAGCCAATCACATTCTGAGGCATTGTTATAACAGCCAATCAGTGTTACGGCCAAAATCTGGCCGTAACGAGCACAAACGTGAGAGAGTTTGTATCAGGCCCAATTTTAGCGGTAGCCGTTAGAGAGAATGTATGAGAACCGCTAAAATTGGGCCTGATCTCAGGTTAGGCGAAACGAAAAGAGAGCCTGATACAAACTTTCTACCAAACGCCTTCCGCCCACTTTTTTGATTGACTGACATTTGCCGAATCAGCCAACCAAAATTACTTCCGTTGCTTGTTTTTTTAGTATGCAAATTTTTCATACGTGGGAAAAATGCAGACTCGCTAACTTGAAAAATAGCTTTTCTCTTTTCGAATCTTTTCAACTAAAAATAAAACGGTCAGCACAATTACATTTAACGTCTTGCGAGATTAAAGGAGATCTCGAAGGTTATTTCTGTTGGCGTAGAAGGCAAAACGTTTTCGAAAAGACGGCGACACGATGTTCTAATTTTAATATTTTGGCTAGACGCGCTCGAATTTAAAATACTGAAATATCTATTTGTCTGTTGCCTTAATTTTTCCTCCGCAATTTTTCCCGATTTTCAGTACATAAATCTTGAAAAATCTTGGAGAAATATATCGTGAACGTTTTTAAAGGATATATAAATTATCTCAGAACAAACCAAACGAGTTCACAAGTGCATATTCTGAATTAGTCCCGTGCGTACATTTGCAATTTGCGAATTTACCAGAGAAACAAACGTCTAAAAAAATATATTTTTTTATAAATCCAGGTAAATATTATCTGCCAATTTGGAAAAACGAAACGACACTTCTACAACTGCATGCTCAACTGACCTATAAACAAAAGGAAAAACAATATTACAAACACACTTTGTAGTTCTCCTTAGTTAAGTTATTGTTTTACTGCAGGTCTAAAAACTTGGCTCGCTAAATTTCAGGGGCACGCAACGACAATTTTTGGAAAATATCTGTTCGGAAGACGACTTGAGATCTAGAATTTTCGGAACATTTGTTGTTAAATTTCTTGCTTGCCAGCCTCTCCTAGGATTTTCGAACCCCCCAAAAATGGTATAATTGCCCATTTTTAACGGATTTTTACCCTAAAACGGTGACCTAGAATTTACGGGAACCTTTTTTCTGGCTGAAATTTTCGAAAAGGTAAGTTTTGATCCCTATAATTTTCGGATCACTAGCCTTTCAGCTAGGAAACCCTAACAGATGACAAATTTTTAGGGGATAAAGATATGCCTATATCTACCGTTCAAATACTAAAATACGTTAAGCAATGCTATGTTTAAGTGGTTTTGAACTATATTCTCGTTGGGTGAAATTTATTAATCGAAATTAACCAACAGCAAACAGTCAACGAGCGAGGACACCAGTTTTCCTGGTTTATTTTTTAACAAAAAGCGAAGGCAAACAACAAGTCTGTTACCTTAACACTAGCGCCACCAGCTTCTATAATAATGCCTACAAAAATTCATTGAACAGTGATGCGATGTTTCTTGTCTAATACCTCACAGTTGGCGATTAAAGTTTCTTTCGCAATGCATGAGCCTCCGCTTGCTTACCCCGTTCAGAAAAGTCATTCCCGGCTACACTTTCAAATGAAACCACTTTTAAGATGGACAGCATTTTGATTTGCACTCGTTTGTTGGTAAGTCAAAAGGCACCTTGTTAGCGGTCAACAACTCTGACAACTTGCAGAGGGATTAGATTCAACTCCGCGATACAGTCACATTAGTTCCGTAAATAAAGCAAATCCTGAGAAGATATGAGCAATGACACATATTAAGGCATATTTTCCTACCATAAGACCATAAAACAATAAAAAAGACAGCGAAATTAAATCGACCTTTCTCTCCGCCGACGGCGGATCATTCACGAAAACAACCACGCGAGGAATAAGCGCTTTCAACTTCCGTTGATTTCAACAGCCAATCAGATCCTGAGGCATTGTTCCAAAAGCCAATCAGCGTTACGGCCAAAATCTGGTCGCAGTGAGCACAAACGTGAGAGAGTTTGTATCAGGCCCAATTTTAGCGGTAGCTCTTAGAGAGAATGTATGAGAAGCGCTAAAATTGGGCCTGATCTCCGGTTAGTCTGCTGTGGTACTTTTGTTAAAACACACTTATCCGCCATTCCGCCTTCCCAGTTACAATACTATTTGGTAAAAATATTGCAAGATAATGCATTTTTCACTCGGTTAAAAATCGCCCGAAGATTCCCATCTTCAGCACTTTCACAAACAATAAAATTTTACGAACCTTTGAAGGAAAAAATCACGGCTTGGTACATGGAATTTTAGAAGAATTATCATACCTCAGAAAAGCCCTACTGTTGTGGTACAACATATAAAAAATTCAGCTTGGGCAATTAAAAAAGAACCCGTCGAGAGGGGTAAACGCGCAGTTCTTTTTTGATGTTTTTGCATAAAATGTTGAAACCGTCACGCAACCGGGGGTAACACAAACTCAATAAAATTAAATTAAATGTGCCCAAATATGCATTATTTTCGATAAAGATGAATAGATAGTGTTCTATAATGTAGTATTTAGTGAATTTTTAAGTATTCTGTCGTTATTTTAATTTTAACGTATAAATGGAATAAGTGAAAACCGCCGCGAAGAAGGTCAAGTGCACTGTCATTACCGCCGACATAATTTCCTACTAGCTTCACGAAAGCGGAATGTTAAAAATACTTCTTATATAAACACCAATGAAATACCAGGTGAGCTTTCGCGCGAAAACTTGATATCTTCACATGTGAAAATATCACCGTTGCTATGGCTACATAATAAATCGCGCCTTTCACACCAAAAAACTATTAAAGTGAAATGGTTTGGTAGTTCATTGTTTATATAATAAATAGAACATTACATGGCCGCTTGGAGATACGAGATTTCTCTTCTCGTGTTGAAAAAATATTTCAATATTTTTTAACACTCGAAGAGAAATTTCCTATCTCCGCGCAGCCATGTAATATCCTTTATATGTACAGTATCTCAAATCAAGAATTTTCTATAAAGGGCATACGAAAACTTATTTCATTCGATAAAAACCCGTTACTGAGGGGGCTGGAAGTTGTTGGAGTCCAAATGGGGAAACACTGCGTTTGGCGAACCAAGCAACAAAGGTCAACAAATGATATCGACACCACAGAAGGTACTCCTTTTTAAATTATTTTTTATCAGTGTTTATGGTCATTAAAGAGCTTGCTAGTCCTGTTGCTTGAGTGACTCAGGGGGAAGGTCGCCCTTAATGAGCCCTTCTCAACTGGTCGACAAAATGCTTTAAATCTATTAAAAATTGCTAAATTGACACAAAATGTTCGCACAAAAAGTAATATTATTGAAACAAACAACTGAAGAGCACCTCGCCTCTTCGTATTCGTTACTTAACCGGCCAAGAAAGTACTCAAAGTTTCCTCTTATGAACTTTACAGGAAATTTATCATCAGTGAACTCAGAGAAACCATTTGATGTACGTCATTACCTGAGTAAAACCTTGCAACTATAGTTTGTATTAAAAAACAACTCTTTACAAAGAGTACAGGATCGGCCTCTGAATGGTTCCTTTCTACCATCTATCTCTCACTTGTCGGTCTATTCCCCACCGTAGGACTCACAAAAAAGGCCGTAATTCCCACCCCGGGACTTTTCATCGAGCGCAAATATGCTGTTTCGTTTAACAATTTATGTAGAAAATATAGAGAACCTGACTTACACTGAATCAACTAAAAAACGGGATACCCACACTTTTTCAAAGAAAGCAACCGGCGATATTGTTTAACGCGGCCAGCCAACTTCGCACACACCCTCAGACGCATACAAAACAATGAAAAGTTAGTTTTAATTTGTCCAACCTCACTATACCCCCAGCCCCCGGGCCCGACGCTCTGGACTTTTCCCGCAGGCTGTCTCGGAGACGGATGGTAGCAGATAAAAAAGAACAAGCTTTTTAGGGTTTTGGTCATTTGGGTAAACCATTTGATAGCGGAGCCCGGCGCGCGCGAAGCGTGCGCAGCGGAGCACCACGGGTAATAAAATTTAGTAAACTATCCATCCGAGAAAATTTGGTTAGGACGTCATGGTAAGCGTAAGTTGAAACGAATTCCTCCCCTCTCCCCTAGAGAGTTTTGTCCTCTGTTGTTTCAAAAGCCTTTAGAAATGTTGACAAATAGAATCTGTCAACTGACCAAATGTTTGGTGTATTTGTGGATTTGAAATTTATTTTTTTAGCATGTGCGCGACCGATTTAACTTGCGTGAACGCAACGATTTAACTTGTCTTACGTGAATTGCTTTTTAGGATTAACTTATGGGTTTTTGAATAGAAATTTTCAAGAAATTAAGTTATTTATCTGACATTGTTCATTCATAACATTAGTTCAAAAAACGACCATGAGACTATAGATCGTGAGATTTCTAGAAACATTCAGACGGTCCCTTTCTTGAATAAAACTGAAGTGTTGTTTTTGTACATGTTCCGCATTGAATTGCTATTCATTTTCTCATTGATAACTCGCCATTCAACAATTTTGCAGTGTGTAGAATTCAAGAATTTCTCCAGTTTTGCAGTGTGCAGTGTGCTGCTATTTTTCCATAACTTGTGCCCTGAATACAGCTGAATACCCGCTCCAATTAAGTTTACTGCGTTTACTTTCAGTTGTTTGTTTACGGCTTTTTATTCTAATTCTCACTGAAAAAGTGAGCTTTGCCTTATCTAAAAAATGAAAGAGTTCTCCTCTATTCTAAAACGGACAGACTCGCTGGCTTTTCGAGCCCGAATTTGTCTTTTTTTTGAATGATAAAAGTTGTAAGTTGCTGTAAACGTTTATATTTGTAGTGAAAGATTGGATTATTGTTATTAGTAGCGAAAAAGGTTATCGTTTGCTTTCCTATGTCTGTCCTCAGAGAAAATATTATACACCTTACAGTAAAATTGTCTTTCAGATATTGTGAGGTATAAATGTAAAAGCCACACATGACTGTTCGTCCGGGCCCGTTAAAAAAAAAGAAAAGAAAATATAATGGGCTTACGGGAAGACAAAAGTCCTTAAGTCGGCCTGATTTTTCTTTTAGATCTTCCCTTAAACACAGAAACACCGACCCAAGAAATCGTAACCTGTAAATTGCTGCTACTTAAGAGACCTACAATTTAACAATTTTTTCAATTCAGGTTTGTTTGGGGGATATTTTTTCTTAATCATTTAGCCCCTCCCTCTAAAGGTGTCCGATGCCGACGGCTTTTAGAGATGTGAAGATTTCTGTTTTTTGGCTTAGAGTTCATGTTATTACATCAATTTGATTGCTTTCATCCTAAGTATAGAAACGGAAGCTTCGCTTTCAGCCCTGGCTAAATTTATATATTAGCCAATTGTGTGTGCCGGACAAGTATCGTCTTATCGAAGGTCAAAAAAAGACAAGAAAGGGACTGATGCCAGAGGGTCCTAACTCTAGGTGTCCGTTAAAGGTACCAAAGTTAGCCTGGACTGTAAATAAGCCCGTATTTTTACGTAGATCAATAACCCACGCTGAAACGAAACATCTGGAGCGAGGGTGAAAAGGAGATTTGCCACGCCCCGTGAGCGTGTGACGGCATGAAAGAGAACCGGCTGTTTTATAGTCTCGGAACTTCTCGTAAACGCTCATCGCATATTCCAGCTTCAAAACTTCAAATTTGAAAACATCAGGTTTGCGCTTTAATCTGAGAGTTTTTAATTGCCCAAGCTGGATTTTTTATATGTTGTACTACAACAGTAGGGCTTTACTAAGGTATAATAATTCTTCTAAAATTTCATGTACAAGCCGTGATTTTTTCCTTCAAAGGTTCGCAAAATTTCATTGTTTATGAAAGTGCTGAAGATGGGAAACTTCGGGCGATTTTTAACCTAGTAAAAAATGCATCACCTTGCAATATTTTTACGAAATAGTTATTTACCTGCCAAAGATGAACTTGTTTCCTTGAACCGCCTTTCTTCCGTAGGGCTTTGAAAATGGTATAATTCAAAGGTTTTAGACCGGCGACTATATGGCGTGGGGCAGCATTTCACTTTTTGCCGGTTTTCTCGAAAAAGAAAATTCTTTGGAAACTTTGATTGTGATTTTCGAAAATGCTTCACCAAAGGGTTTTTTCTCACTGAATATGAAGATTTCGAAATTTCAGTTTTGACGGAAAATTCTCGATATTTACAGACAGCCGCTCTTAAAGAAAACAAAATTAAATGGAAGCTTATTTTCGAGGTTTTATTAGTATATTTAATTTATTTCAAGAGAGCAGAGCTCGGCTAAGTACTTGATGTAGCAACTCAGGTAATGGTCCGATCATGAAGTGGTTCGCCATGTGAGAGATACTTCATTATATTCTGCGTCAACTGTCCCTTGGACATCAAAACCCGCTATAAGCCGACTGAAACCTTTCAATATACACAAGGCGAAGCAATAACACTGCTTAGAACAAACTTTTCAAAAGAAGACATTTGACGAGAGCCTTGCGAACTTTAAACAACGTCTCGAAGTACACGGGTATTCTAAACAAGATATAGAAAGGTCGTTGTCAGAGGTCAACTTTGACCAAGGACAATCGCTTAATCGGCGCTAAAACAAAAGCAAAAAAGTAAAGAGAGACTATTGCCTTTCGTTACAACATATCACCCAGCGGTGCAAGATCTTAAAAAGACATTGATGGCAAACTGGAGTCTTATAAAAAATCAGCTTCTACTGTACACAACTTTTAAAAGACTTCCTTTCGGAAAAGAGACAAACAGTCCGCTTGGTAATTCCGATACTTCACTGGTTTTATTTTTAACACGGCTATTTCACAATACTGAATATACGAAGGATCACTCATGATCGCCTGAGCTCATAATCACAACTGAACTTTTGCGTGAAAATCATAGATATAAAACCTATTTGATGATCATGTTTACTCAACTAATGCACTTAACTGTCGTCTGATCATTCAATCACTGAAACCCTAATCCTTTAATTGATTTGCATGCATCCTAAAATAGATTGCTGAAAATGCACTTGAATTATTTAACAACATTTGTCACGCACAGTCTCAAACACTCCGATCATATCCTAGAAGACATGCTTGACATGATTAGGAATTTGATAATGCGACGCAATCACAAAAACCACATTGGGAGTCCGTGCAAGTCTGTCTTTGACTTCCTTTTAGCTATGAAAAAGACTCGTCAAATGCAAGCACATATTCTTTTTCTCACTCGGATTGAAATTCCCGCTCTATTGGGTAGCTTTGAACTCAAAACCTTATCCCGAGGTGGAGAACTGTGAATTGAAATCTAATCCCAAGGGTTGGGAAGAGTTTGACCCCAAAGTTTTGTTTTTGATCAAAGTCCCCACCCTTTCCCAAGGTCCCCTCCCCCCTCGGGCATAACATTGATAGCTGCATGGTGCGCGAACGGTTAAGATCAAGCGAATCCTGTTCTATCTTGCCCGCCCAGGATTTCCCGCGTTGGTCCCGCAAGAAAACGTTTCCTTCATGGCCAAATGACTTGTTCAGTCAAGATGGCTTAAAGTGTTGGCCTTGTTCTGTTTTGCATTTTTATCGACCTGGGCCGAGTTGTGCAAAACTGGGTTAAGATAACCCAGGGTTGGTGCGAGATTTGAGTTTAGATTTGAAAGCTTAAAGAGCATTTCAGTTTTAATTCTTTTTGTCTACAAGTCGATGATTGGAAGCTCTAAAAATAACAGAGAAAATTATCCGAGAAAATGCTTTTGACCACAAGAAAAAGAGACTCGGGTTAAATTTATCCCTGGGTTAAGCGCAAACGGCCTTCGAACAACTGGGCACTGGACTTTATCTCGGTTCATCAAAACGCAAAAATGAAATTGGCCAATATCCGGCCATCTTGATCTCACGCTTAGTCAGTAATGCATATATATTGATTGTGTTACGTAATAATAATGCCCTAACAACCAAGCATGATCTTTTGAAGATAAAACTATTATATCTTTTCCCACAGTAAATCTGGTGTTACATTGCATATATCACCAACGACCTCCCAATAACCCAAGAGGACCGTTGTGAAGAGGTTTGACTGCATATAGTAGTCCACAACTTTACCACATTTCTACTAAAGGATTAAACATTCACCTGCAATATCTATCCATCTCTTCTCATGGGCGAGCATCATCAGTTTTCTTGTTTCATCATTTCTTAGAGGATTTCCTTGAACACTTAGCCTTTGAAGACAACTTAGCTCAGTGATATCGAATGAAAAGTCGTTTAATTTGTTATTCCTCAAGTCCAGCTCTTGCAGGTTTACTAGTAGTCTTATAATTTCAGGCTGTAGTGATGACAAGTAATTGTCATTGAGAAACAAGTGGGTCAGGGAAGGTAGCCAACGAATGTCTCCAGGGGTTTCGTGTAGTTCATTGTGGCTTAAATCCAACTTGCTCAGCGAGATGAAATTGGATAATTTGTACAATCGCTGCCCCGGCAATGTGATCGGCATCCCTTGGTATGAAAGGTCCATTTGTCGTACTTCTAAAATCCTCTTTTCTTCTTCCACTGTAAGTGTTGCTTCCTCCCTTTTCTTTCCTCTCCGATAATATTCTACTCGTTGTACAAGGGGCCGTTGAAACATAACACGGCTTCGTATCATCAAACCTAGTTGAAATATGAAACAGATTGGTGTAAAAATAATATAACCAGTAAGTTTTTCAGCCCGTAAACCAGTCTTTGTAACCAAAGTTTATCGAGGTTCAAACGTAAGCCATATCGAATTCCCTCGCACCCCCCCCCCCCCCCAAAAAAAAAAAAAAAAAAAAGGAAAAGAAAAGGAAAAGAAAAGGGAGGAAGGAAGGAAGAAAAAAATTCAGCAAAGCAAGTCTGCATATAAGACAGACTACCCGCCACAAGTGCAGGTGGCGTAATCTAACAAAGCCTCTATTCAGTCAATTGAAAATTTTCAATTAAGAGCGCCCTTCTATGTCATTAGCTCTAAATGAACATTCAACTCAACCCCTTCTCACAGTGCAGAACATCGCGGTAGGTAACCGAATTAACGAAAGAGCTATCTGTGAGGATTTCTAGAATACTTTATGGAAAGTGCTTTGCACCATATGTAGGCTTGCAAAAATGTTGAGACTCGTTTATTGAATAATACTTATGCAGCCCAAAGGCTGAATTGCCTATTGACAACTAATATTATTTAGACAATAAAAAAAACGAAAAATTATTGCAAACTCTTCTATAAACTTGTAATAGATAAAGCTAAATGGATAAGACAAAATATATTTCACACCTTTGAAACCTACTTACACTATTATCAGTATTATTCAGTAGTTGATAAAACGTTGTTCTTCAAACAGGAGGGCATAATGAATGTATATTTAAAGCGATTGCAGAGCACCTATAATTCCTCGAGGAATACGGATTATCTCTCAGTTGATGGCAGGCAACAACTTGTTTAGCCTATGTTCTATTGTTAGTAACTGGATGGGTAACCCGCCGCGAAGATCGTCGTGAAGGTCCCTACTTGGTTCTTTGTTTTTTCTTCTTCCTCTTTCCGTGTTGTCCGGTTTTATTTGTGATTGTGTATTGAAAATCATATTTAGCATTGTTTCGGCTGGCGGATTTAGAAAAAAATACAAACAAGGCAGTGCAGTTCGCGTGAAAAGTATTATACTTCGGGCCACTGAAACTTTGATCCATTGGCGGGGAAAACGCCAAAGCAGGAGCCGCCCGGCCAAAATAAATTATGGTTTTTCCACAGTGTAAAATGAATTCCAAATTAGATTTCAGAGACAAACGACAAGGTTTCGACGGTAAAAAGCCAAACTAAAAGGTACTTTGGAGAAACATAAACAAACTCGTATGCGAACTGAGACGCAATGACAATTGCTCTTTTATCTCGACTTTCGTCTTTTGAAGTTGCTGGCCCAAAAATTGCTTCAATGTTTTCTGTGAAATACTTCTGTAGTCAATATTTCTAGCCAGGATCATTTCTTCATTGCCAAAACGGGCTCAGAAACAGTGAAAAGTAGACTCGCCAAAAGGCGAATTCACTGGTCTGCTTACACCAGACAGAAATATATATAGGATAATGCCCTCGCTCCTCGGCCTTCTTAAAAATAATGACCGAGCGCGCAGCGCGAGGTCATTATTATTTAGAACAAGGAAAGCCAAGAATAGCTTGAATGATTTGCTAATTAAAGAGTCCAGGAATACTTTATAAAATCCCGTCGGGATTTGCAGCCCTAGTACAATATAAACATATCTGCCTTTTCTCAAGGGTTTTGGTGTTTCTAGGCTCTTCTGTCAGTTCAGCAGCTGAGTTCCATAACGCTTTAGTTGACGTTGCCTTTACTGCAATACGTCCAGTTATTTTGAAAAACGTTCATCAGAGATGATGAGCGATGGTTTAGATGATTTGCTGTCGCAGGCGGTAGATTAATGCGAAAAAGAATAGGTAGTTTTAGACGATGGACTCGATGAAATTCTTTCCCAGAGTCTTGTTACGTTTGAGCAGAAGAGTCTTGAAGACGACGCTATCGATATTACCAACATGTTTGAGGTTGGCGGGCCTAGTTTGGTGATGGGAAGGCACTTTAAAACTGTTTTCAATGTTTAATAAGTTAACTTCAAAGTCTTAATAGATTACCATTTACAATGTTTAATAAGTTAACTTCAAAGTCTTAATAGATTACCATTTACAATGTTTAATAAGTTAACTTCAAAGTCTTAATAGATTACCATTTACAATGTTTAGTAAGTAATCTTCAATTCTTAATAGATTACTTAATTGACTTCAAAGTCTTCATAAGTTTTAAAATAACTAATATTAATATGTTAATTTCAACGCCTAGATTTTACACGTCAAAATTAAATGGACTAACTATAAAAATCGGTTATCAGCGTTACGAGTCATGCAAAGAGTTAATATTGGTCAAACGTTTTCATGCCTGACATAAGAAAATTTGTATTTCCACCTCTGTCCCATATTTATTACTAAAAGAACGCAACCGCTGGTTTTCGATTAATAGCTTGTTTTTCGATTAATAGCTTTAATTTCATTAAAATAAATGTTTATTCGAAATTCAAATATTGCCAACAAAGATCCAATTATAATAATCTATTTTTGCTTAATGAAAGATCTCCCCCTTCTGGCAATATTGAAAATTATCACAATCTCTTGTAACTTTACGCAAAATAAAACACCCAACCAACAAACAAGTAAAACTAACCAAAGAGTGATACAAGACAAGTTATGTATTTTAGGTATGGATTTATTAAAATCCTCGAGTACTCCACCAAGATGAATCGACTGAGAAGAGAAACTTGCACACGCACACTTATATATCCAACCTGTATGTAACTCCAAAGATCACCCCCCCCCCCCGCTTCCCCACTTACAATTACACATTACGCTTAACTGAGACCAAGAGTTGATTTATTTCGTTAAAAAGACCTTTATGTAATATTTACTTTTACTGGAAATATTTGTTTTTTCGTAAGAGAAAAAGGAAGAAAACAGCTGGAGCTAAACAAAACCAAATCGTTGAAATCTTATTAAACTATTAACTACAAGTGCAAATTATTTACAAAAGTTTGCGCTATCGTATACTGATATACTTGGCAAACTTGGCAAAACTTCTTCAAGGAAAGATTCCCTTTAATCAAATATATACAGTTAGCCAAAATTTAGTGGTATAAACTCTTTTTGACTACGAGTAGTCCCCATTTTTCTTCAGGGATAGCAGAGCCGGGAGCGAAACGCGTGCGCGCGTGAACTCTAATATCCCTGAGGAACAATGGGGACTTCTCGCAATCTAAAAATATTTGCAAGATCCTAAAGATAGTCACATTAGGGCCGTTTATACGAGAGAAAATAAGCCGCGGCTTACATAAGAGGCGAAAGGAACCATTTATACGAGTTCGGCTTACATAAGACGCGAACTGCTGGTATAAATGGTTCACTGCTTAGTCCGCGGCCAGACCAGTCCAATGATGACGTAGTTTCTTTCGGTGCGAGCAAACGAGCAAATAAGCGAAACGACTGCCTTTGGTCAGGAAAATCGCCATATTTTACACTGTCGTTTTCTTTTCAAATTAACATTTCGTTCAAGTTTAGAGTTAGGCTGTTGAGAAACTTGTGCGGAAAGCTCATCGAAAAGTTCGTCAGCGATCAGTCAGTTGAGTGGATTAAAAGTGATGTTCCGGCGATGAATGAGGTGGAGAAAATGGACGAAATTTCCGGCTCACTTGTGAAGCAGGTCATTTTCCCGCCAATGCAGAGCGCGTCTCTCGGCCACGAAGGTCTGGTATATTACTGAAAACAGAGCATCTGCGAGCATGTGCAGTAATCGTTCACAGCTTCAGCAATCCGCGGAAAACGTATGAGTGCATTTATACGAACACTTTCACGTCTAAGTTAAGCCGCGGCTTGGATAAGCCCAGCCCAAAACTCCTCGGCCAGGATAAGCCGCGGCTTGAGCTAGCCGTGGGTTGAATAAGCCGTGAACATAGATTTTGTACCATTTGTACGGGGTGTTCGCGTCTTATGTAAGCCGCGGCTTATTATCTCTCGTATAAACGGCCCTATTGTTTCGAACACACATAGTTTTGAAAGACACATTCCAAGGCTCAGAGTACAGGTCACTTTTTTTCTTTATACTGGAAAAATTCGTTGGACTCAGTTACCTTTGCCCATATGAGTGTATTGTCATCATTTGTTTCAAGTTTTTTTTTTTCGCAGAATGCTTAGTTAAATATTCCATATTATACTGTACAACGCAAATGATCGATGATTTTTTTGGTGGACTCATAGAACTGAAAGCAATACAATTGCGACTTTCTGCAATTTGTTTTAGTGGTCAATCATTCACAAGCATTAGAAGAAGGAACGTAGGTGTCTTATCCGATATATGTTATTGATAATAACCCTCCCCCCGCTTTCTTCACCGTTTATTTTGTCAGTGGACACTCCTTGTATTTTATAGCCGATGTCCAGTTTATCCTAGTATCGGTTTAGTAAAATAAAACGCTTCATTTACTGTATCTGAATGAGTGTTCTTTAAACGTTCTTTGATATTTATAAATATTTACAATCCAAGGAGAAAAAAGATTTACTTATTATTTAACATTCATATATAAGCTTAAGGGTCCTGGGAGCAGGAGAGTATGGCGTTCATTTCTATTCAAAACACTTTGAGCACATTTTTGACTTTTTCGAGAGGCCCCGTGAGCGAAAGTCGACACCACGCCGTAAATATCCACGACGTAACGATAGATCAGCCTGAAATTTCTCCTTATAATATCGATGCTTTAGAAAACATAGTGGTCTTGAGAATTGAGTACGTGATCAGAGAAGAAAGAACATGAAACAGAATTGTGGCATCCGATAAGAATTTTACTGATCTCACTAACATCAATACTATTTTTTTTAATTCGGTACTTCTTATTGGTTTAAAACTGCAAATTGAAATCTCTTCTAACTCCCTCTTTTTATAAAATTCAGAGTTTAATTTCAGTTGCCTTGAGTACCGGCATAACCTTCCTTCTCAGTAGGAAGAATAGACTATGAGAACAGCCAAGGGAATGTTAAAGCTGGGACTACTGTTTTTGCTAGTCCGCTTTCCATTTCTCTCAGTTTTACCTTTCTAAAGCTGTTTTTATATACATAGTCCGTAGTCCGCGTTTTATACCTAGTCCGTGTTTTATACTCAGTCCGGAGTCCACATTTTATACCTAGTCCGTATTTTATACCCAGTCCCCAGTCCGTGGTCCGCAGTCCGCAGTCCATATTTTATACTGACCGGTTAAGCGACTCTGTAGTGCTTTCGAGTTTTTGTTCGAAAAATTTCAAGTCTTCTTTGAATTTTGCTAGATTGTTCTTTATGGTTTCGACATACTGTCGAAATTGTTTCCAGGCAGTCCTTCACATACGATTTACGATTAGAACAGGGTATTTTTCTCGCACCAAAAACTTGTTGATGGTGACAGAGTAGTCTCCGCAAATCCTCAGGTCCCCATGCATTAACTTTAACAATAGGAACTGTTGGTGATGCCCACTCTGAATGCTCTACTTTCTCAACGATATCCTCTCTTACAAGTTTCTTCAGAGTATCTTCATACTTAAAACGAATTGCAAATAGTGCTACTTGCGGTTTGGTGAATACAGGATTTTCATTGCTTACTCGCAATGAAACTTGGATCTCTTTAGGTTTTCCAACTGACCTAGTCTCAAACAACTTAGGGTATTGGCCGGCAATATCCTCAGCTGCAATGGAGACTGTACAAAAAAGGTTTTACCAAGGGAATGTAACCTTGGACATCATGTCTCGTCACATAAGTGATGATCCATGAACGACACTTATTAACAGGGTACCCATCTGCCTTCCAACCTTCACGTCTATCTCCTTTTCACCCAAACAGTGGATGGTGTTACTGTTATAGCTTTTCAAAATCACTGTAGGAGGTTTGAAGTGTCTTTCCTTGTCCTCCTAGCATCGTTAGAATTTAACACTGTTACCGAACAACCAGTGTCCACCTCTATGGACCCCTCGGTGTCTTGAATTGTATATGTAAGCTTGAATGAGGGGGTGTATTTAAAACATTACCAGAAGATTGCACAATTTTCATATAAACCGTACAAGGGCAGTCTGTATCCACGTTCTCCCCCTTAGAAACGGTTTCCGGTGTTGGAGAGGCTGTAACTTGGTGGGTGCTGTTGCCACCATCTTTAGCTAGATGCCCTGGCATCCCGCAATAACTACAGTGTGTGGTCCTTGGTCCGGCCGGTTTTACTCCGTGATGTAATTTTCGGGAAGAAAACGAGGTTTCATTAAAAACGAATCTTTACGAGTATTAATTGATCTGTTTGCCTTCTTAACCTCGATTTGAGGTTTTCCTGATGCTAGCGAAGTTCGCGCAAAGGTAGGTGAATTTTGTTCTGGCGACGTTTACTTTTTTATGGTGCCTTAAATTACGTGGATACATTTTGACATGCATATGCGATAATGCGCGCTAAGAAAGCTATTTGTTGGTGTACATGGCGTACAAGAAATGTTCTTTCGACTTGCAAAAAAAAGAAGAAAGAAAGAAATCGGTCGGTCGACAGTAAATTTTACGTACTAGGTCTTTGGTCCGACCACCTGACGGCAGGATTTCTTTACCGCACGATAACATAAACAAGTAAAATAGTCAAGTGACTGAAAAATGAGAGCCTCACAAAGTTCAGTTTTCTCTTCGTTTAGTTATAAGTAAATTAAAATTCACGAATTGAACTTTGGCTAAGGATGAGTTCAGTCTCTCAACTTTGAGCCAAATTTTAACTGGTAAATAATAATTTAGTAACCGCATGCAGCGTTCAGAAAAAATATTTTAAAGTGATATTGCTCGAGACTTTGCGGGTAGCACTGCACCTTACTTATTAAGCAATGATATTAAAGGCCGTCAAAAGTAAGCTTATATCCGTCCGATTGGTTTCATTGGAGAGCTCTAGCAACGACGACGGCGGCGGCAACGAGAACGTTAGTACTACAGTCAGTTAGTCGAGGAACTGTAATTCCTTGTATGTATTCTGTAGTTGTAAAAGATGGCAGACAAAAAGAGGTCATCAGTAGAATTCAATCTGCTGTACAAACAATGCAGGAGGGGAGCGTTTTGAAATTGATGACAAATTAAAAGTTAGTATTTTAAAAAAGGTCAAAATAAAGTAATACATTCTTTTCTCATTCAAAAGCAGTTCTCTTGACTCTTGAAATTAAGTGCGATTTAATTTCTTCAGGGAACGAAACTAGAGCTCTTTACACAGAAACTTCATTTCAGTTTTTAACGTTTATATGACACCTATGAAAAATATACAGGAATTCAGATCAGATGGTACTTGCAACGTTTCTTTTTGCGCGAAAATTGCGTGCGCTTACAAAGTGGCCCCCAAAGAACCTCTGGCCGGACCAAAGGCCTTGAAACGGATGAGCAGCCATTTTCTTTGATGCAGGATTTTCGGAAAAGGTCAGAAGCTGTCGGTTTGTCACAAGTTAGTAGAATGTTACAGCAACTTACAGGAGCAAATTTTAGCTCACTATTCTTCTTCTTAGGTAACAAATACTCATTTACGTCTTTTTCGTCCGGACCAACGACCACATACTGTACATGGAGATTCAACATGACTGCACCTGTCTGCCAAATGCTGTGATAAGCCAGACCTGAAACACTATTTTCTTTCCATTTTTGGTTTTGAAGCCGTTTGCTTTTGGCTTCCTTGGTGAGGGGTAGGGCTCCTGTGAACAGCATTTACAGATAACATTCCAGCACTCGACGTATCAGCTGTTTTTTGTTTGTTTGCTTGTTTTTCATATATTTTCTTTTCCCTGTTTACTTTAACCGTAAATTTCCTGTCAAAAGTTCCTGAGCAGGCAACATTGTAAAAATTATTACCTCAAACGTTCCCTGAGGTTTTCACTTTCATAAATTTATACATGCAGATGTAGATATCCGCAACTATTTTTCTTGGGGACAGTTATCGAGTGTTATTCCTTACGTATGTGAGGTTTATAATTTTGTCGGAATTCGCATCGCGCGTGGATCGCACAGCGAGGCAGAAACACGAGTTGGCTAAGGTCTTCCTTTTATTTTCTCTTGTTATTCGGTCTAAGACATTTAATTGCTTCTTGATACTTTGTGTGGGTGCTTTTTTTTTGTTGTGCCAGTACTTCTATCTAAGTAATTTACTCATTGTATTGTTCGAACGTGACGTATAAAGAATCTTTTGTAAAATAAATGTGAGCCAGCATAAGCTCTCTTGGTGAGCACTTGGTGCTTTTAGGGCAAATGTTGCAATTACTGCTCTCTCTCTATAAAAAAACACGCACCATAAAACGTAGTAAAATAATAGGAAGTCTTTTTTCAAAAAAATGTTTTGAGTCGTTTCTTGTGACTTTTATCAGTGGAGCTGGATTTCAATTCGACTGGCAAAGGCAATCCACAGCCGTAAGGCGCAAACAGAAAAGGCCTGATGTCCAAAACGCGTGCAAGTATGATTTTGGGTTCCGCAAGTAACAAGTAAGTCACAGCTGAATCCGCGAGCGGGCAAGATGAGGCAAATCCTGCATTCTAATTGGCTACCCTAACGGGCAAGATGGGCGCATCTTGCCCGCTCCGGAATTCCCGCGTTGGTCCCGCAAGTAAAAGTTTTCTGTTTTTGCCATATAATAAATCCTCCGTTGGCCAAGCTTATTCGGTCAAGATGGCTGAATAACGGCCTCGTTCTTTCTTGCGTTGTTATTGACCTCGACTTCTTCTCCGTCAATAAAAACGCAAAAAGAGAACTTGGCCAATATCAATCCATCCTGACCTCACGCTTGGTCAATAACGCATATATTTATTAGCACATTCAAGGTAAACGTACCTATTTTGGAGAACAAATTATCCACGTTCATGCCTGTGAAAACTGACACTTCCATGAACAGGATAGAATACTCCTTGGCAAAAAGTTGACCATCCTTCAGAAAAACAACAACAAAAAAGACAGGTATTATTGCCAAACAGAAGCACCGAGGTCGCACTTTGATTATTTTTTTCTCCAATTCTTTGAAAGCAATCCGGGGAAAGAAAAGTTTGGTACTAGAAAACTTGATGCCGAGCGAAATTTGGAAATATGCCTCGAGCAAAATAGGCTGAGTGGCGGCGAGATAAGAGGAAACGACAAAAATACTGTGTAGCACAAAATTTTTGCGAGTTCTATTTTCTATGTATTTCTATTGCACGTGCTCGATAAAATGAGTATTAATGATTTGTCCGGGGCTTTCTGAAAACCGCAAAAATTTATTCGCAGCAAGAAAAACCAATCTGTCCTAAAGGCAAAAAATTCCGCAAAACACAAAAAAATCGCCAATCCGCAAAAACAAACTCCTGCAAAAATTTCGTGCCACACGGTAGACAGAGAAATAGTGACATAGTTCATGCTCAAACTTGGGAGGTATTACCCCTGAAGAAAAAACTGCCAACCAGCCAGCCGAGTGAAGACGCGAGGCTGGCGAATTGGCAGAGAACAGTGAGAGGGCCTCGTCAACTCCTGTGACTCAGATGGCTGCATGGTTCCTAGAAAATTTCTTTGCAGCCGGTAGCTTGTTTAGTAGCTATAGCTTATATAGCGGTAGCTTATATTTTCTTTGTTGGCCGAACAGGATGCACATGTAGATCATTATGGCTATTAGCTTCGTGGCCGTGAAGGGATATAAGACAGGTGTAAGATGCTACGTTTTTGTTATCGCGGGATTGTGCTTTATCAGTGTTTGTGCAAGGCGTTTCTGAATGCGTTTTTAAACGCCTTTTGAACAGTTCAAAACAAAGTAAAAAAAGTTCAGAGACAGAAACTTGTTTTCATATTCTGTTGTATGTGCGCTTCTAAAATGGCGTTTAACCAGCAAAGAGAGAATAAATACAAGGCACACAACTCCGAAATCCTAACATTATTGACCCTCCAGGCTGTTTGCAAAACAAAAACACCTTTTGCCTTTAAATGACGAAGTAATCTTTCGTAAGAATAGGCCATATTTCAAATAATTTCGCTCACCAACTGAGACTTGGGGCCTGGTGTTAGGATTACCCAGCAAGCGGGTTAAAGATAGCCCGGATTAACAAGCAAAATTTCCCAGGTAGGGTTACCCTATCTCCTGGGTCAACTTTACAAACTTGACTGACGTGTTTCGTCATGCGTGACTAAAATACACATCCTTTGTAACGTCCAATATTTGTATAAAATCTTGAAGATATCCATGAAAAACAAGTTAAATTCAAGAAAAAACGGAAAAATACAATCACGCTATACAGAAAATTCGCTATATTGTTCAAATGTTTGAAATTTAACTCGAAAAATTGGATAACTCCGTTAAAATTTTCAAGATAACTGGTCACGCAAGACGGAGAAAAGTTGTCGCGGTTAGGTCAGCAATCCCTAGCAGAGAGTTTACAAGGTAGGTAGGGTAACCCTAGCCCTCAGGTAGGGTACCGTAGCTGCCTTTTAAGCACGTCGTGTAAAAGAAGTAGAAATGTGCGAGTTCTTGGGTAACCCTCTTGCTAGGGTAATGTATCGGTCAAATCGAAGCTTCAACATGCCCCCCCGGGCAACCCCCCGGGCATTTGACTTTTTTGAAAATTTTTGTTCCAATTCCCCCCTACCAGGGCCAAAATGCCGTTCAAATGCCCCACACTAGGGTCCATTCAGGTGATCAAATGCCCCAACCCCGGGGACATTTCACAGGCACAAAAATGACAGAAGGACGGCGGAAACGCCTTCACTTGTCGAACAAAATCTTTATAAATATAACAAAAACTGAGAAACACGGTTAGCGTATTTACTACGAACAAAAGTCTCGTGCAAAGCGGCGGAAATCGCTGCTACAAGGTCACTGAATGCTCAGCTTTTCTTCGTCATGCAACATACAAAGCGTTGTATAAAAAAAGATCCCACCTATTGAGATTAATACATCATGACCACTTCACTGACATGCATCATCGCTCATCTTATTAATTAACATACTTACATTAGGTCAAAGAAGTTGACCTGAGCTTTTTATTTTATTTTATTTTATGTTGTTGTATTGAATCGCCGGTATAGGTGTTGTATTTCATTGTAAACTCAACAATAAAGTACATTCATACATTCAAAGCCTGAATCCAAGATTCAAAATTTTAAAATTTAAATACTTCAAATACGGCACAAAGCTTGTTTAAGCCCTTTCCTCGTAAATAATTGGCTACAAAGGCACAATCTTTTCAACGAAAATCCTCTAACACCGCGTCCCCCATGATAGGTCGCCACGCCAAAGATTTTACATGAAATCGAGGGTGCAGTTCAAATTCCCCACCCCCTGGAAGACTCTGATAATCAAATTCCCTCCTCCCCGGGACGGCAAAGGTGTCAAATGCCCGGGGTATGCCCGGGGGGGGGCATGTTGAAGCATTGATTTGACCGATACATAACCCTAGCACCAGGGTTACCCTCTGTCCTTGAAAACAAGGCCTTAATATCCACAACAAAGTTTTAAAGCTGCAAGAATCTTCGCCCGACCAACGCGCCATTCAAAAGGACTTCAAGAAAAAAAACACTACGCTATCTTCTAAACTCAACCAAAGAAGGAAAAAAATGCAGTTTTTCAGGTCTATAAACACTCGGCAGAGAAGTGTAATCAGTTATGTATCGGTCAAATCGATGCTTCAACATGCCCCCCCCCCCCCGGGCATTTGACACCTTTGCCGTCCCGGGGAGGAGGGAATTTGATTATCAGAGTCTTCCAGGGGGTGGGGAATTTGATACCCATGCTTTAGGGGTGGGGAATTTGAACTGCACCCTCGATTTCATGTAAAATCTTTGGCGTGGCGACCCATCATGGGGGACGCGGTGTTAGAGGATTTTCGTTGAAAAGATTGTGCCTTTGTAGCCAATTATTTACGAGGAAAGGGCTTAAACAAGCTTTGTGCCGTATTTGAAGTATTTAAATTTTAAAATTTTGAATCTTGGATTCAGGCTTTGAATGTATGAATGTACTTTATTGTTGAGTTTACAATGAAATACAACACCTATACCGGCGATTCAATACAACAACATAAAATAAAATAAAATAAAAAGCTCAGGTCAACTTCTTTGACCTAATGTAAGTATGTTAATTAATAAGATGAGCGATGATGCATGTCAGTGAAGTGGTCATGATGTATTAATCTCAATAGGTGGGATCTTTTTTTATACAACGCTTTGTATGTTGCATGACGAAGAAAAGCTGAGCATTCAGTGACCTTGTAGCAGCGATTTCCGCCGCTTTGCACGAGACTTTTGTTCGTAGTAAATACGCTAACCGTGTTTCTCAGTTTTTGTTATATTTATAAAGATTTTGTTCGACAACTGAAGGCGTTTCCGCCGTCCTTCTGTCATTTTTGTGCCTGTGAAATGTCCCCGGGGTGGGGGCATTTGATCACCTGAATGGACCCTAGTGTGGGGCATTTGAACGGCATTTTGGCCCGGGTAGGGGGGAATTGGAACAAAAATTTTCAAAAAAGTCAAACGCCCGGGAGGGGCATGTTGAAGCTTCGATTTGACCGATACATTACATGGAAGTTAAACATGAATATAATTATAATAGCTTGATACCTCATATTTTATCTTTCTGTGCATCAAAAGATCTGCTTTACTTCCCACAAGACCCACAACAAGACTCCTAGACCTCTTCTGCGATAACTTTTGCACTTGATCCTTTGCCTCATCAAACGAACTTGGGTCTGTTATATCATATACGACAACAACTGCCCGATGAGCTTCAATGTTACGGGTTTTGACTGTTTTAGGATCACAATCCCTTACAATGACTTGGAGTCCATAATTACAGCAGTTGTTGGGCGTGTCGCTGTGCACACATGGAAATGATGATGCCTTTCTCCAAATAGCTAAAGATAGAAGGAATAAATAGTATGAGTGAAACAGCAAAATTATGTTAACACAGAAACACTTCATGATTATCTAATAGCTCAGAAAAAGTAGAAAAAAGGAGTCTCACTTTGATTAAACAATTCACGATCAGGAGATGCTCCTACAAGAAATCTTCGAACTAAACTGGACTTTCCTACACCTTTGCCACCTGTGAAGTCAAAATGAAAGCAAAGAACGAAGAATACACAATACAATCTTCAGTACCCAGTTTGTTTAATCTTTCAGTATCAAGTGCATCAGAATGGCGGAACCCTAACATCATGCTAACATATTCCTTTAACTGAGTCAATAGGACCTAGCCAAACCACAAAAGCTTAATGGCAGCAAAAAGCTACTGTGTATATATATATATATATAAAGGGTTCATTTGGAATCTCCAGGTTTAAAAAAAGTTGAAGGTCTTTGAACTTCGATTGACCATTTTCCTTGGAAAGACAACAAATATTATGCACTTTTTAATAGCATCAGTGATCCTTGACCACAGGAAAAAATAACAGATTCCCATTTTTGGATATTTTAGGGTATTTAAAGAATACCCACAAAAATCCCAAATTTGGAAGAGTGAGACAAGTCCCAATCAGGGAACTTGGTTGGGAATTCCCTGGTTGGGACTTGTCTCACTTTGCCCACATGCTAAACACTTAGATCATAACTGACAAAAAAACCTTCATGGTCTATACTAGCTCGAATTAGGGTCACAAGACTGGTATGTATATAGCCACTCAATTCTGTGCCACTTAACTTTAATTTCAAAAAATTAACAGTTAGTTAAAAAGACATTTCTACTCAATTTATACCAGCTAACACCTCTCAACAAGAACAAAAATAATTAATTTATAATATTATACACTAGCTGCATCCTGCAAAAAAAAAATGTGTAGCCCAATTATCATTTTGCTTACCTTTTATTTCCACATCATAGCAACGACGCAAATTTGGCATCTCTGTTGCATAATGGACCTGTTGGTTTTCTCAGCCTGGTATTCCAGTAAAGGATAAACTCTAAACCAGTTGATAGTGATGATTCCGTAGAGACACACACTTAGAAGTCAATGACAATCATTTATACATGTAAATATAAATGGTAAAACTTTTATTTATTTATTTATTTATAAACTTCGCCAAGAGGCCTGGATCACTCACAGAGCAAGCTCCACTACGAGTTCCAGAAAAAAAAAGAAAATTAGTAATAAAACTAACAAGAATGATAATACTTTAGAAAGGACAAAAAAAGAAATGGAAATGCAAAAACAGAATTGGGGAGGAGACTGATAAAAAAATCAACAACACATATGATCGAGCAAGCTATTCAATGGCCAACTAGTGTGGCACTTAATACACACACTCTTAAAGGTCTGGGGGGTGTCAACATCATTAACAGACTTAGTGAGAGACAAGTAGTAATAAAAAAAGACCTTTCTTAAAGTGCGTGACTGAACAGTCAGTGTTCCGGAGGTGGGCTGGTAAAGTATTCCAGATTCTTGGGGCTCTACAGTAAAAACTGTTCTTAAAGGTGACGGTGTACTGTTGGCCCTAATCCTATTTAATAGCGTACCCTTGGAGGAGACACTACACCTGGGTCTAGTGGAATTCATGACTGAAATAAAATGGTCTGATAGACTAACTATTTAAACATTTGAATAGGTACACCAAATCTAAAATTCGTACCAATAACATAATGGTAGTAGCCCAATTTTCAAAAGCCTCTGCTTATAACTAACTCCCGGGTGGGGGGGGGCACTTGGGTATTTTTGGGTGGGTATGTGCCCCGGGACTCAAATTGGCACCCCGTTCTAAAACAAATTACCTAAAATTGATACCCCGTTCTAGAAATGGGCCAATTTCTTGATACCCGTTCTAGAATTCGCCTAAAACTTAATAATTGTTCTAGAATGGGCCAATTTTATACTCCGTTCTAGAAAGTTTTGTAAAACTGAAATAGCCCTGTTTTTTTAAAAGATATTTCTTTTATTTGTTCGAATTATACATCAAATAAATGTTTCTTCATAATCAGCAACAATTTTAAAACATAGGGTGCAACAAGAATACAACAGTTTGCTTGTTAACTCATTGAACCATATTTTTAAAAGCAATCTGTCCTTGAATAATTTCAAATGGCTGCTTACAAAACTGGAGCTTTCGTGCGTTCAAAATATTATACCCTGTTCTAGAAAACACCTCTGAAATGGATACCCCGTTCTAAATCAGAGCTTCAAAATCACGACCCCATTGGGCGGCACATACCTGTATAGGTAATGTATGGGAGTACCCCCCGGGAACTAACTTCAGACCGATAAGGCAAAGACAGAATGAATTTTGTTACGTGCCACTGAATTATTTCTTTCTTTACATGTATATTCACATCATGAGTGATAAGAATGTCTAAAGAACTTAGTGATTTCAAGATAGTCATTATGTTTCTTTTTGTTGTAAGAATGATATAGCTGTACATAGTCAAAATGCTACATTTCAATACTTTCACCAGCTCATGCGTAGCGCTTTTCAATCGAGTTATTATGCCGAAGTTAGAGCGAAGCAAAAAAAAAAGATTGAACCCCTCCCCTCCTGGTCCCATTAATTTTTTTTTCTTTTGTCCCAGCTTTTAGATTTAACCTCAAGGAGAAGCGCTTACTTGCCCCTTTCTAGACAGACCTCATGAGGAAACGCTACTCGCAGGCTATACTTTCACTGTTAGAGACTACTGATGCCCCTGGCAAAAAATTGTGTTTGTTAGTTTTCACTCACTAAAATACTTACAAATTCATAGATTGATCAGAGAAAAGTAGGTTGACAATTTTTTCCTAAAAACTTTGACAGAATCTGAAGATTTAACATGGAGCTTAGCACTGCGGTAGGTGAAGGACCGCTGACCGGTGGTTGGGCGGAACCTTGGAATGTTCAGTTGGTCACGCAGAGTGAATTTCTCGAATAGGTAGTTATGAACAAGTTTATTAATACATTTGTACATCATCACTGCATCGTTCAAGTAAATTCTGTCATTAACAGGCAGCCAATTTAGCGATTTGATTGCTTGTGAGATGTGATCAAACTTTTTGAAGCCAAGAACAACACGGCCGGGCGGCAAAATTCTGCACAAGTTTGTTGATGTTATGTTTACTAGTATTTGACCAAACAGTTGAGCAATAATATAACTTACTAAAAACGAAAGAGCTCATAAGGAGATGATATGATTTTTCCCAAAAAGCCATTAGATTGTGATCTCGTCGAGTTCTGCCATACTCTCCCACACTCTGCAGACGTTAAACTGACTGTAATCAAAACCTGTTAGACCCTACTGATGTCTACTAGCATTCAGAACTCTTGGATCGTTTCCCGTAAAAAAAAGGTGACTCTATCAGCAGGAAACTACTCCACGAGTTGTTTCTCTTACCTTGAGTAAAATAAAAGTTTCCTTGTTCTTTTCAGCTAAATTAAAAATTTTACTCGATGATCGCGTGATCAAATCCTGAACCTCGATCTTCCGACTTCCCCCGAGCCTCTGGATCAAAACGAGGTTTAAGGCGAGATCGAGGTGAAGGCCAGGTTGCCAAGTTCGAGTGCCTGATAACCAGTGCCTGGCCACTCAGTGCAGTGGTCACGGTTATTCTTTCATGTTACGCTTACGCCAAATAGATATATCATTCATGTAATAGTAATAGATTGTTTATCTCCCTGTATACCCTGTATACCCTGTATACCCTGTATACGCATGTATACCCTGTATACCTATGTATACCCTGTATACCCTGTATACCTATGTATACCCTGTATACACTGTATACCCATGTATACCCTGTATACTCTGTATACCCTGTATACCCTGTATACCCATGTATACCCTGTATACCTATGTATACCCTGTATACCCTGTATACCCTGTATGCCCATGTATACCCTGTATGCCCTGTATGCCTGTATACCCTGTATGCCCATGTATGCCCTGTACCCATGTATGCCCTGTATGCCCTGTATACCCTGTATACCCTGTATACCCATGTATGCCTGTATACCCTGTATACCCATGTATACCCTGTATACCCATGTATACCCTGTATACCCTGTATACCCATGTATACCCTGTATGCCCATGTATGTATACCCTGTATACCCACCCTGTATGCCCTGCCCATGTATACCCTGTATGCCCTGTATATGCCCATGTATGCCCTACCTGTATGTATACCCTGTATGCCCTGTATACCCATGTATGCCCTGTATGCCCTGTATACCCTGTATGCCCATGTGCCCCTGTATACCCATGTATACCCTGTATGCCCCTGTATGCCCTGCCCATGTATACCCTGTATACCCTGTATACCCATGTATACCCTGTATGCCCTGTACCCCTGTATACCCATGTATACCCTGTATACTGTATACCCTGTATACCCATGTGCCCTGTATGCCCTGTATACCCTGTATGCCCATGTATGCCCTGTATACCCTGTATACCCTGTATGCCCCTGTATACCCTGTATGCCTATGTATACCCTGTATACCCTGTATGCCCCTGTATGCCCTGTATACCCATGTATACCCTGTGCCACCCTGTATACCCTGTATGCCCCTGTATACCCTGTATACCTATGTATACCCTGTATACCCTGTATACCCCTGTATACCTATGTATACCCTGTATGCCTGTATGCCCTGTATGCCCTGTATACCCTGTATACCCATGTATGCCCTGTATGCCTCTGTATACCCTGTATGCCCATGTATGCCCTGTATACCCTGTATACCCATGTATACCCTGTATACCCTGTATACCTATGTATACCCTGTATACCCTGTATGCCCCTGTATGCCTATGTATACCTGTATACCCATGTATGCCCTGTATACCCTGTATGCCATGTATACCCTGTATACCCTGTATACCCTGTATACCCTGTATACCATGTATGCCTGTATACCCTGTATACCCATGTATGCCCTGTATACCCATGTATACCTGTATGCCCATGTATGCCCTGTATACCCTGTATGCCCTGTATACCCTGTATACCTGTATGTATACCCTGTATGCCCTGTATACCCTGTATGCCCTGTATGCCTATGTATACCCTGTATGCCATGTATGCCCTGTATACCCTGTATACCCTGTATGTATACCCTGTATGCCCTGTATACCCTGTATACCCATGTATACCCTGTATGCCCTGTATACCCTGTATACCCTGTATACCCTGTATACCCATGTATACCCTGTATACCCATGTATACCCTGTATGCCATGTATCCCTGTGTATACCCATGTATACCCTGTATACCCTGTATACCCTGTATGTGTACCCTGTATACCCTGTATACCCATGTACCCCTGTATACCCATGTATACCCTTTATACCCTGTATGCTCATGTAACATGGCGAGACCAAAAAGATGAATTAGCGTGTCTGAGGAATTGTTGCAAAAGGCATATATGTCATTTTCTTTTTCGTCCTATTTTAAGTCCAGAAATCATTGGTTGGTATGCGCCTATGTGATAGTATAAATTGGAACTCAGTTTGGTGCTTTTTGTGCACCGTACTTTTTGCCATAAAATAGGCAAGTTCTTAGTTAAAAGTTCCTTCTTCGTCTGAGTAGTTACAGTCTTGAAGTCATTGTAGTTGGCTTTTACGTGCGGTTAAACTACTGGCTCTGGTCAGCTTTTGGTAAATTATTGGACCTAGCTTTTCTCTTTTAACAATTCAGTTTTCACTCAGTGTTTCAAAGTTATAGTCTTTTGTCTCAGCAGTATCGGTAACATTTTTGCGAATTCGTTGAACAGCTGATAGTAAACCGTAAAACTGAGCGGGCGTACTCTTAAATCATGTTTGGAGGCAAACCCTTTATACCCTGAAATGTATCGTTTCCTGTTTATACCTGTATGTTTAACTTTGTATGATATGTATACCCTGTATACCTTGTATACCCTGTATATACCCTGTATACCCTGCATACCCATGTATACCTTGTATACCCTGTATACCCTGTATACCCTGTATACCCATGTATACCCTGTATACCCTGTACCCTGTATACCCTGTATACCCATGTATACCCTGTATACCCTGTATACCCTGTATACCCTGTATACCCATGTATACCCTGTATACCCTGTATACCCCTGTATACCTGTATACCCTGTACCCTGTATACCCTGTATACCCTGTATACCCATGTATACCCTGTATACCCTGTATACCCCTGTATGCCATGTACCCTGTATACCCTGTATGCCCTGTATGCCCATGTATACCCTGTATACTCATGTATACCCTGTATGCCATGTATACCCTGTATACCCATGTATACCTTATGCCCTGTATACCCTGTATGCCCTGTATACCCCTGTATACCCTGTATGCCCTGTATACCCTGTATACCCTGTATACCCATGTATACCCTGTATGCCCTGTATACCCTGTATACCCTGTATACCCTGTATACCCATGTATACCCTGTATACCCATGTATACCTGTATGCCCTGTATACCCCTGTATACCCTGTATACCCATGTATACCCTGTATACCATGTATGCCCTGTATACCCTGTATACCCTGTATACCCTGTATACCCTGTATGCCATGTATACCCTGTATACCCTGTATACCCTGTATACCCATGTATGCCCTGTATACCCTGTATACCCTGTATGCCCATGTATACCCTGTATGCATGTATACCCTGTATACCCATGTATACCCTGTATGCCATGTATGCCCTGTATGCCCTGTATGCCCTGTATACCCTGTATGCCCCTGTATGCCCATGTATACCCTGTACCCTGTATACCCTGTATACCCCATGTGTACCCTGTATGCCCCTGTATACCCTGTACCCATGTATGCCCTGTATGCCCCCATGTATACCCTATACCCATGTATACCCTGTATACCTTGTATACCCTGTATACCATGTATGCCCTGTATACCCTGTATGCCTATGTATACCCATGTATACCCTGTATGCCTTGTATGCCCTGTATACCCTGTATACCCATGTATACCCTGTATACCCTGTATGCCCTGTATACCCTGTATACCCTGTATACCCTGTATACCCTGTATACCCTGTATACCCATGTATACCCTGTATACCCTGTATACCCTGTATACCCTGTATACCCTGTATACCCTGTATACCCATGTATACCCTGTACCCCTGTATACCCTGTATACCCTGTATACCCATGTATACCCATGTACTCCCAGTATACCCTGTATACCCATGTATACCTTGTATACCCTGTATACCCTGTATACCCTGTATACTCATGTATACCCTGTATACCCATGTATACCCTGTATACCCATGTATACCCATGTATACCTTGTATACCTTGTATACCCTGTATACCCATGTATACCCTATATACCCTGTATACCCATGTATACCCTGTATACCCATGTATACCTTGTATACTCATGTATACCCTGTATACTCATGTATACCTTGTATACCCTGTATACCCTGTATACCCTGTATACCCCTGTATACCCATGTACTCCCAGTATACCCTGTATACCCTGTATACCTTGTATACCCTGTATACCCTGTATACTCATGTATACCCTGTATACCCATGTATACCCTTTATACCCTGTATACTCATGTAACATGGCAAGACCAAAAAAGATGAATTAGCGTGTCTGAGGAATTGTTGCAAAAGGCATATATGTCATTTTCTTTTCGTCCTATTTTAAGTCAGAAATCATTGGTTGGTATGCGCCTATGTGATAGTATAAATTGGAACTCAGTTTGTTGCTTTTTGTGCACCGTACTTTGCGCCATAGAATAGGCAAGTTCTTAGTTAAATGTTCCTTCTTGGTCTGAGTAGTTACAGTCTTGAAGTCATTTTAGTTGGCTTTTACGTGCGGTTAAACTATTGGCTCTGGTCAGCTTTTGGTAAATTAATGGACCTAGCTTTTCTCTTTTAACAATTCATTTTTCACTCGGTGTTTTAAAGTTATAGTCTTTTGTCTCAGCAGTATCGGTAACATTTTTGCGAATTCGTTGAACAGCTGATAGTAAACCGTAAAAACTGAGCGGGCGTACTCTTAAATCATGTTTGGAGGCAAAATCTTTGAGAGTCAGAAAATGATCGTTTCCCGTTTGGACGTGTTTAACTTTGGAGATACTTATTTCAAACCACTCTTTAAAAAAGAAATTTTTCATTATCTATCCTTATCAAAGAGTTGAACCACAGAACCTGTTCTTGACAAGCGATATCAGAACTTACTTTATCCACAAAGTTTATTTCTTTCCAATATTCCAATTTTTCTTTAGTTACGGGGTCCGTTGCCCTAATCTCTTTCATAGTGTCAGAGACTTTGAGTCTCAACGGTTGAGATTACCACGGAAAATGAGATCGCGGCCGTAGTTCTCCAGTTATAGATCAAAGATAACGTTCCATTTTCCGTTTTAAGTAGCGTCCAAGTACTTTTTAACCCATGTTGTTTTAAGACATTTGTTGAAAGGATAAAGGTCAATCATCTTCAGACCTCCATACTCAGGTTCATTGATCATAACTTTTCTCTTGATTTTGTCACCTTCTCCATTCCATAGAAAATGGTAAAACATGTCATTTATTTCCTTTGTAGCGTAATGATTTGAGCGTAAAAGGGAAGAGCAAGTATACCAGTTGTGATGCGGTCAGTGAGTTAAGGACAGTAATTTTCCCTAACAACGTGAGCCTGCAATATTTCCAGCAACTCAAAAGCTTCCTAATGTTTTCAGTTTTTTCGTTGTAATTCAACGTCAAAGCCATGTCCGGATCGGTTGACAGCCACAGACCAAGTGTTTGACTTTATATTTTGGCCATTTAAACTTCTTTCCTGAAACAAGGATTTGTTCATGTGCTGTCTTAGAACCGATCCAAAGGGCTTCCGTTGTGCTATCGTTTAACTTGAGGCCGGAGATCTGACAAAAATCATCTAAACTTTGTATTGCTGGTATAAGGGATTTCTCTCAACCGTCTAAGACAAGAGTGGTATCATCAGCGTGTTGGCTTATCTTAACTTCGTCATTACCCAGAGAAAAACCTGTTATGTCCTTGTTGTTTCGGACGGTCTTGGCCAAGATCTCCGCAGCAAGAATAAACAAATATGGGGAAAGGGGACACGCTTGCCTAACTCCCCTTTGAGTCCGAAAGAAATTGCTTGAATGAGCTCATTCAAACATTGCTAAGTACACAGTTTTCGCATTTTTGATTAAGGACAGCCTTTATCCTCATCAGATGAAACTTTTAATTACTTATTATTTTAATTACTCATTATTTGGTCCGGCGTTACATTATTGGCTAAGGCAATGTAAATTCCGAAGTAGGCTAAACTGATAAACAATTAGGTAATACACAATAACTTCATCGCTCAATTTATTGTGATTTACCAAGGCCACCGACTTTAGATGTTTACTGCATAATATCAACTTCTTATAACTCTTAAAATTTCTCCGCAGGGGTGGTTTGGACATCAAAAGAGGGAACAGGGTTTGACTTTGAAGGATGCAAATTACATAAAACATACATAACTTACATAGACCTCAAAACAGTATAGTACTCTGCAAAGGGAGGTATTGGTTTAGTTACAAGAAAGGTGTGAACATTAACTTATACAAATATTACAACGTAACATTTCCCAGGTTCGCGTTCAAAAGATAAATAAAACTTTACAGCGAATTTAACAACTATGAGATAAGAATCTCTTGGGAATCTCATATAGATCTGGTGAGAGTAAGCACACTATATTGATATTCTTTGCATAAAATTATACGGTTCTCATTATCGATCATATGGTGTTCTCTTACTATTACGTCCATGCACGGTACAGAGCCACATACTATATAGTATCTAACGTTTCCTTAGCTTATCATACTTTCTTTTTTCATCGTAAAGCACCTGTAAGGAATGGTGAAATATGGGAAGAACCATTAGAAAAGCGAAACTATTTACGACTTTGACTATTTTGCTAAATATGTCACAAAAATGACTGTTGTCATTTTTGACATCATTCTTTGAGTTGACATGCTGGATAATAGTATGCATGACAAAGAACTCGAGCTCATTCAATCCAGGATCTTTGATTTTTTCGTCATTTTCTTCCAGTGAAAGTCTTGATCGTTTCGCTTTCACGGTATGCCTGTATTTTTTACTTCGCTTTCTCGGTGTTCTACATTTTTTGTCTCGAGGAAGCCTTTGGTTTCCCCCACATTGTTTGCCTTGGCACCATCCACAACAACTGCATGCGCTCATACAGGTACCGTATTCGTTGATGCACTTGCACCTGCCTTTGTAGTTCCTTGACGCTTTTGCTTTTGATTTGTATTTATTTTTTTCTCCGCATCGACATGGTTTTCTTGGAGTTGAGATTGGCACTTTCTCCGTGGAAAGCGTGGACTGACTCTCGAGAGCATCGAGATTGCTGTTTGTTTCAGAAGTGAATCGCTCCTGCTGATCACGTTGGGAGATAATTAGCGCATCATAGTGTCCTGGACCACTTGCATTATACGCGAGGTAGACGACGTTTGAGGCTGGCACCATCCCTTCAGGAGAAATCATCACAAAAGGAGTCAAAAAACTTGGATTTAAGACAAATAAAGGTATTTGAATAACGTTTGCGATTGCTAGAGGTATAAGATCGCCTAGCGGACCTGAAAACGTTCCCGATTGGATAAAACGATCTGCCTCCGAAAAAAAGTTTACATCACTGGGCAGAAATGACTGATAAAAATCTACTCGTTCTCCCTTCAATTCTTGGACGACTTTACTCCTGAGAATGCTACCAATATCGTTGATGGATGTAGATGTGTCTATTCCCATCTGTTCCGCAAGGTGCGACATTAACAATGATTCATTATGTGCATTCAAGCTCATCATTTGTTGCAATTGCATTGCCACTGCCGTAAAAAGGCAATTGCCGTCACCCGTTACCTCAACAATGTCAAATCCCCAAGTCGAGGCTAGTTCAGTAAGCCTTTTTCTGTCACTTTTTGTTGGGTCTCCAGCTACTGTTTCATTTTCCATTAATGCCTTTGTTTTTAATGGTCTAACATAAGTCACTATCTTCTTGAAATTGAATAGTTTTGGCCCCGTTTTTTCCTCAACGATCTTGCTCATTTTCCACCACTGTAAAGCGTTTCTAAGAATGACAAAGTTTTCGACATCCGCCTTTAAACTGTTCTCCACGTTTTCACCATCACTACACGTAGAACTCTCGTCATTGCTATCGATTAATGATGTAAGGCGGGTTTGTATGTGAGAAATATTCTCTATAGATGTTGTTTTCAAATTTAGGTTTTTATCCTCTGTAGCATTTGTCATCACATGGAAATTTATTTCGTGAACTTTGTTATTGGTTTCGTCAAGGGCTCTGCTCGATGGCGGTACTCCTGTTAACAGAATCTTCTTTCTACTGTTTATGAGCATGTCACCTATAGATGGTAAGTTTGCATCGCGTTTCCTGTTTGAGTTAAAAAGGGTCCTTTCAACGCGAGTTCTTGCAAGATCTACTCCAATTCGGTTTGTTACTGTTGTTTTCTTCAGTTCTCTGTGAAGCCGTTCGTTTCGTGTTGTCCCACAACCTGGGGGGATATGTGACAAGCATCCTTTTCTAACGTGACATTCTATATTTTTTAGTTCTTTTTCAACGCTTTTGCTGATAACACGAGCGCCACTTGAATTCTTATACGAAACCCATTTTGTGATAAAGTTGTTTAGGTTGCGCAAAATCTCTTCAGGAGCCGGAGTTGGAAGTTTTCTTTCGATTGCTTGATCTCTCTGATCCCTGAAGACCAGTGAGTAATCTTTGCAAACCTCTGCAAAGATATGAGAACGTTTTGACACCTTTTTTGTAATTCTTTGTATGGCGTGAAACAAATCCAACTTGACGGGTACGTTTGGGAAATATAACGTGAGCAGGTGGCGCCACTTGCAGCAATTGTCTATGTATATTCCTGACAGTTTTACCCCTCGATTTTTGAAGTCTAACGAGAGAGCTTCAAAAAGAGGTTTTACCTCATCAAAACTCTCTGACATAGCGAACGACCACCTTATTACTTGTCCTTTCTCATTTATTATGCAAAAGAGTGATGTGTACTGCGTAATCCAGGCGCTGTCTTCTTTTCTTTCGAAGCCGATATTTGCAGCTGCCTTGAAGGTGTGGTCACAGCTAATCCATTTAGCATTTAACGAATTCATTGCCTCTGTAAAAAGGTGTTTTTTCTCATTAAAAGATGCAACGTAAACGCTTCTTATCAAGTTGTCACCAGGGCAGGGAAAAAGGTTCCCAGGAACGTCAAAATTTAACTCCTCAGCTGACTGTTTGAACCCCAATTCTTTCGCTTGGTGCGCGTCATTTAGAAATCGGAGCAACCTGTTTCTTAATGTTCTTTTATACCTTTCTTTTATGAGCTCTTCAACAGCCAATATTGCCAATCATCTATCTAATAAATCTTCAATTTCATCTGCCAACCGCATAGTCATACCAGATCGGTGTGTGAGAACAAATGGCACGCACGTATAATCCTCTGAGGTGTCGTGGATATAGCTTGCGGGTATATCATGACCATGCTCACATTTATATACTTTGCTAACAAGCAACACTGGACTTTCAACGTCGAACAACATTCGGGGATTTGATCTGTCTTTTCTTGCATTATTCCATTCATTGACGCTTCCCCTTGATAGCAAAGAACATCTTCCATCTTCAGCGCACAAATGACAATACAATTTTCTTTTTTTGGCGCGAAAAGCCGGATGTTGTCCAAGAGGATCAAAAAGGATATAGGGAAGTAAAAAGTAAGGATCTGCGTCTTGTCTCCAATCGGGTCCTGTAATCGGCGGTGGTGATGGTGTGACGACAGAAGGAAAGGCCACCATTTCTTCATTCATTGATATATCGTTTTCATATTCCACTGTTGCTTTCATCAATATTTCTCTTTGCTTTTCTGTCACCTCAAATCCAGTCACAAACGTCACAAATAGCACAAGAATGTAAGTAGAAATTATTAACATTGAGATGTGCATGTTTGATTTGTGTTCCGTCTTTCTTACTTGATCGTCCTGGTCTATCCACGGTGTGATGCTATGGGGAAAATCTTACGTGAATGAATTTATGACAGTTGATTGATTTGTAGCCTGGGTATGTCCGCCTCCTCCCGTCCAACCAAAATCTCGCGCGGGCTTATTGAGTGTCACTGCGTTTCATCAGGTCAGCATTCGCATACTCGTTCAATTCAAATGCCAAATTTATTATCCCTTAAATATGTAGCTTACATGATGACATTTCATATAAAGAAACTCCATGGAAATCGAGTTGCTATTGACGGAAGAACAAGTAATGAAGATTTTTCCGGAAATAAGGTGTTTAAAAAATTTTTTGGCTACCCTGATTATCAGCCGATTCCTTTCCCACGGCGAGTAGGCTCGTAAAGATGTCTTATTCTGCTCAAAATTCTGCTCGGACACTCTTATTCCTTATTTTGCTCGAATTCTGCTTGATATCCGAAAAAATTTTTCGCAAATATAGAAGGAAGCCTGGGCCTAACCCTAAAAACAAATTAGATATTCATAATGCGTAGCAAAATATTGTAATTCATCTTACTTTTAATGTGAGCGCTTTGTAGCTATATAATCAAATTAATCGCAAGGTATTTTCCATTTGTTTTTTTATTTAGTTTTAATTTTCCCTAATTAAAATAAATTTTCTAGAAACATGAGTAGAATTAAATAAAATGATATGATAGCAATAATTAAAGGGCTACGAATTCTACCTTATCAAATGACCCTCTATTGTCATCATCTGTCAATTTAATGACTGACGTCGCTGTGATATCGCATTTATAGGATATTGCTCTTGAAAATGGAAAGATAAAGGAAATACAAAGAATACAACAACAGCAACAAGTTTATTTAGTATTACTATATATTTTTTAACGTGGTGTTACCGCTACACTGAAATACAATAATATCAAGACGAAGATTGCAAAGGAGTTACAGATATAATAGAATGGGATAATTTATCGATTATTATTATCATTATTCTTCTTTCGTCTCTCAAATGCTTGGAAGACGAAGGTAGCAGTAAGCTTGCGCATGTACGAATCAGTATTAATATTAAAAAGAAAACAGATTTTATCATTAGTATTTAATTTGTAAATAACGTATATCGTCATTCATTTTAGTGAAAAGAGACTTTTTAAGGACCAATGAAATAATAGGTGTATTTAATTTTCAACAATTTAGACTGCAGTGATCACAAATTCCTAGGTCTTCGGGAGTTTTGCGGATTGTATATCTTTCAGATTTGTGATTTCCTATCTTAAATTTGAAGGCGATGCGTTTATGTTCAGGCTTCCTGATATGCTAAATGAATTCAGAGTACTTTTTTTCGTTTGTATAGGTGGAGTAGAAGTTTAGTTTTTTTGTTTGCACTTATCAGATTGACTTGGTGGTTTTAAAAATGTACTGACAAACTGTAGGAAAGCAGAAGGGTTTTTTTTAAAAGTAACTGATTTATTTTCAATATTAAATTGTTTACATAAAACATTTATTTTGTATATCAAACATGATTTTTTTACTAAAGGGTAGACAGGGTATACCGGGCACACAAGGTATACAGTGTATACATGGATATACAGGGAGTACATAAGTATACATGGGTATACAAGGAATGCAGGGTATTCAGGGTATACAGGGTATACAGGGTATACATGAGTATACAAGGTATACATGGGTATACAGGGTATACAAGGTATACAGGGTATACAAGGTATACAGGGTATACATGAGTATACAGGGTATACAGGATCTACAGGGTATACATCGGTATACAGGGTATACAGGGTATACAGGGTATACATCAGTATACAGGGTATACATGAGTATACAGGGTATACAGGGAGCACATTGGTATACAGGGTATACAGGGTATACAAGGTATACAAGGTATACATGGGTATACAGGGTATACATGGGTATACAGGGTATACTGGGAGTACATGGGTATACATGGGTATACAGGGTATACAGGGTATACAAGGTATACAAGGTATACATGGGTATACAGGGTATACATGGGTATACAGGGTATACAGGGTATACAGGGTATACATGGGTATACAGGGTATACATGGGTATACAGGGTATACATGGGTATACAGGGTATACTGGGTATACATGGGTATACAGGGTATACAGGGTATACAGGGTATACTGGGAGTACATGGGTATACATGGGTATACAGGGTATACAGGGTATACTGGGAGTACATGGGTATACATGGGTATACAGGGTATACAGGGTATACAAGGTATACAAGGTATACACGGGTATACAGGGTATACATGAGTATACAGGGTATACAGGGAGCACATGGGTATACAAGGTATACAAGGTATACATGGGTATACAGGGTATACATGGGTATACAGGGTATACATGGGTATACAGGGTATACTGGGAGTACATGGGTATACAGGGTATACAGGGTATACTGGGAGTACATGGGTATACATGGGTATACAGGGTATACAGGGTATACAAGGTATACAAGGTATACACGGGTATACAGGGTATACATGGGTATACAGGGTATACAGGGTATACTGGGAGTACATGGGTATACATGGGTATACAGGGTATACAGGGTATACTGGGAGTACATGGGTATACATGGGTATACAGGGTATACAGGGTATACAAGGTATACATGGGTATACAGGGTATACATGGGTATACAGGGTATACAGGGTATACAAGGTATACATGGGTATACAGGGTATACATGGGTATACAGGGTATACAAGGTATACATGGGTATACAGGGTATACATGGGTATACAGGGTATACAGGGTATACTGGGAGTACATGGGTATACATGGGTATACAGGGTATACAGGGTATACAGGGTATACTGGGAGTACATGGGTATACATGGGTATACAGGGTATACAAGGTATACAAGGTATACATGGGTATACAGGGTATACATGGGTATACAGGGTATACAGGGTATAATGGGAGTACATGGGTATACATGGGTATACAGGGTATACTGGGAGTACATGGGTATACATGGGTATACAGGGTATACAAGGTATACAAGGTATACATGGGTATACAGGGTATACATGGGTATACATGGGTATACAGGGTATACATGGGTATACAGGGTATACAGGGTATACATGGGTATACAGGGTATACAGGGTATACATGGGTATACAGGGGTATACAGGGTATACATACATGGTATACTACAGTACATGGGTATACATGGGTATACAGGGTATACAAGGTATACAGGGTATACAGGGTATACAGGGTATACAAGGTATACAGGGTATACATGGGTATACAGGGTATACAGGGTATACAGGGTATACAAGGTATACATGGGTATACAGGGTATACAGGGTATACATGGGTATACAGGGTATACAAGGTATACATGGGTATACAGGGTATACAGGGTATACATAGGTATACAGGGTATACAGGGTATAATGGGAGTACATGGGTATACATGGGTATACAGGGTATACTGGGAGTACATGGGTATACAGGGTATACAGGGTATACAAAGTATACAAGGTATACATGGGTATACAGGGTATACAAGGTATACATGGGTATACAGGGTATACAGGGTATACATAGGTATACAGGGTATACAAGGTATACATGGGTATACAGGGTATACAGGGTATACAGGGTATACATAGGTATACAGGGTATACAGGGTATACAGGGTATAATGGGAGTACATGGGTATACATGGGTATACAGGGTATACAGGGTATACAAGGTATACAAGGTATACACGGGTATACAGGGTATACATGGGTATACAGGGTATACTGGGAGTACATGGGTATACATGGGTATACAGGGTATACAGGGTATACTGGGAGTACATGGGTATACATGGGTATACAGGGTATACAGGGTATACTGGGAGTACATGGGTATACATGGGTATACAGGGTATACAGGGTATACAAGGTATATAAGGTATACATGGGTATACAGGGTATACATGGGTATACAGGGTATACATGGGTATACAGGGTATACATGGGTATACAGGGTATACAGGGTATACAAGGTATACATGGGTATACAGGGTATACATGGGTATACAGGGTATACAGGGTATACAAGGTATACATGGGTATACAGGGTATACATGGGTATACAGGGTATAAGGGGTATACTGGGAGTACATGGGTATACATGGGTATACAGGGTATACAGGGTATACAGGGTATACTGGGAGTACATGGGTATACATGGGTATACAGGGTATACAAGGTATACAAGGTATACATGGGTATACAGGGTATACATGGGTATACAGGGTATACAGGGTATACTGGGAGTACATGGGTATACATGGGTATACAGGGTATACAAGGTATACAAGGTATACATGGGTATACAGGGTATACATGGGTATACAGGGTATACATGGGTATACAGGGTATAATGGGAGTACATGGGTATACATGGGTATACAGGGTATACAGGGTATACAAGGTATACATGGGTATACAGGGTATACATGGGTATACAGGGTATACAGGGTATACATGGGTATACAGGGTATACAGGGTATACATGGGTATACAGGGTATACATGGGTATACAGGGTATACAGGGTATACTGGGAGTACATGGGTATACATGGGTATACAGGGTATACAGGGTATACATGGGTATACAGGAGAATGGACATTCTATTACTGTTATATGAAACACTAGGTCTATTTGGCGTAAGCGTAACATGAAAGAATAACCGTGGTCACATCATGGCCGCCAATGTTTAAACTTCAGGGAAGCGAACCCTCTTTTCGGTTTTCGTCCTTCTCTTGATTTAAAATGGGATCCTCAAAGAAGCACAAAGAAAAAGACAAGGATAGAGACCGAGAAAAGAGGAGAGACAGGGAACGAAAACACCGTGAAAGAGACAGTAATAAAGATCGTGACAAAGACTCGGATAAAGAAAGGAGGAGAAGGGAAGACAGAGCAAAAGAGAAGCGAAGTCATCCAGCAGAGGACGATGAAAGAGGAGAGAAGAAAAGGGCTAAAAGAGAAGAGTATGATGATTTATATGAATATGCTGTGGAGGAATCGACGCGGGACGATCATGGCAACGGTATGGTTAATTTGGACTGGAACTCGTGTTCAATGTTTAAAATGCTTTTGGTGAGAAATATCGATCTGTGGCTAGTTACCAAGCTGTTCTTAAGTGTGTTTTCCAATGTTCTTATCAGATAATGACATGTCGCGAAACCATCAAGAAGGTGGAGAAATATCACTGAGTATTGAAGAAACAAAGTAAGCCATAAAAAATACTGACGAATGGGTACATGTAGAGGTGTAAGGGATGACTATGGGGGAAATGTAAACTATTGCAATAACATATTGTATTGCAATAGACCACATGGATATTTCGATAGTATTGCGATAGTGGAGGTGCTATTGCAATAGTATTGCAATAGTTTTCTGGAATATCTGTTTTTAATTACTGCTTTATACTTTAAGAAATAACTTGGAAGGGGTGGTCATATAATACAGGTACTACATGTATGCGGTTCAAGAATCAAGGCGCTGAAAGCTAAATTTGTGATCCAGACCCCTGCTTCCAGACTTGAATTAAAGTAATTGAAGTGACCAATCTGTTAATAATAAGGTGTCACCATGCACCAATCAGTAGGGAGCTGTAGTAACGACAAGGGTGACGGCAACAAGAACATCAAAAAAGGAATAGGTTTAATCAGGAAAACAACAAATCTACATCTGCAGTGCAGGCTCAGTTGCTGTCAGTGCACACCTACAATGTAACATTCCGTTAGGTTTTCTCCCTAAGAATTAAATTCCATTGAAATTTTATTTACATGTATGTCACATTTCAAGTGAGTTACAGTAAATTAATGGTGACAATGTTTGAAAACATGCAAGTCCTTTTTAACAGTGACATTTTCCTTGCCTGTTGCCATTGTCATTGCTAAAGCACCCTGTAGTAGATCACAGATTGGCAAAAGAGCTCAAAATCTTCAAAATTTTGTAAGAAAAACCTGGCTTGCCCCATTTAGGGTTGGAGAATATTGATATTTTTTTTATACAAATGTAACCTCATTTCTGTGATCTATAGATTCTGAAGTGTTTATGTACAGTTGATTGTTCAAGTATTTTGTCTTGTTTTGAACTGTAACCGAGTTAGAGGAGAACTAGAGGAGCCCATAATCCTAATGTCCAGGTTGTTATTACACATGCATCGCATGTCTGTAGCCAGCATTTGTTTAGAATTCTACTAAACATGAATGGAATGCACAAAATGCAATTTGGTCATTGACATTTTGACCTTTAACCCTTGTAATCTGATACCCAACTGTATTTTGACCAAAGGTGAAAATCACTTAAAAGTACAGTGTTGGAGCAAAAGCGTTTGACTGTATTTGGACCTCTGATCGCTGTCACCCACACTCCATAACCTTTGGTTATTACTAGTTCTATATATTCTGGTTCTCTTATGTTTTACTGTTACTGGGGCATAGGTTGTCAATTCTTTTAGTGAGACCTGTTGACATTGTTACAGTATTTAATGGTTTGTTGTATCAACGTGCCAATGTACTGACCAATTTATGGTAATACTTTTCAGTAAATTAAGAATCAAACTTGGACTTAAGCCACTTGAAATCCCTGATTCATCAGCAGACACAGAAGGTAAAGTACATCTCTGCACAATCTATGTTACAGGTCAATTTTCATTTCAGGTTAAAATTCTTTCAACCCTTTAAGCCCAAATATCAACATACCAATTCTCCAAACTGATCTCTATACATTTCCTTAAAGAATGAGTTAAGAGAATTTGATAAAAGATCAAAGCATTTCCTCTTTAGTGATCATGTGAGTCACTGTCAACAACAACAGTCCTATTCAGGACTACGTTCACCCAGACGATCAAACTCAACCTACTTTTGAAATGACTCCTGGGTTCAAACCTTTCACAGTCTCATAACTTTATCTCTTGACAAGGTATGTACGTTGTGGTTCAATTTTATCCTTGGTTTAATTTTTATTTCCCTTTGTTTTGGGGTATGGTAATATATGATAATGAGTTTAAAACAAAGGGAAATAAAAATTAAACCAAGGATAAAATTAAACCACAACATGTAATTCATTGGGAGAAAATTGATGTTGGTCACTATTGGGGGCTTAAAGGGTTAACCTACAGTGTAGGTTGATTGTCAATGTCCTTTGTCGGCACAGACATGATCTAATCCTGGCTATTACTGTCTGCGAAGCAGCAATAAGATCCCTCAAACCTGATTGGCAAATTGACAATGGCTTTTTGAACAGACCAATCATTGCACCTACTCAAATCCTGGTACGCTGGCAAGGGTCCAGAACAAGGATTTCAGTCCTGGTTTGCAGATGGACTTAACCAGAGATTTAGTTTCATCTCTGGTGCAGGCCACTAGTAAGGACTAGCTACAGATAGAAGGGAATAGAAATTGAGAATCAACTTAAAACCCCTCTAGCCAAAGGTACATTCAAAAGTCACCTCAAAACAAATTTGACCTGTAACAAAATACGCCATCTTACATCTTCAATTAATTCTGTCAATTTTGTTGGAAGTATAAAGTTATTAACCGCTCGTGCGGATCCACGTTCTTTCTACTGCATGTGATGTCATCAGTTTCAATTGTCAAGGACAACTTTGTCTGCTAACTTGTGCAGAGTGAAGAGATCTTTCAAACCAGACCAGAATGAGCACAATTCAGTCAAGGACACCAGAGAAAAAGGCAAAAAAAAAATGTAACATTGACTTGAAAATTTCCATGAAATCTTGTTCCACTACCCACCTACCATTCCTTTCATCTAATCCTAAGATCGTAAAAGCTTGCCCAAAAACTTTTCCCACCAAAATGAAGCCTACTAAATGCCCAACAAGAGAAAAAAATGAGGCAAGAAAAGCAAAAAAAGAGGGGAGGAGAGAAATTTTGCTTTCTGTACATGCGCAAACTTCGCAAGCTAATACTTTGCATCTGGATCAGAAGGCCGCCAAGTGTACGGCCTGTAAACAGCTTTGTGGTAAGTTTTAGCTTTTTATGGCACAACAGTGACCAGAGAACCACTCAACTAGCTTCAAAACGTGTTTTTGGGCACAATTCCAGGAGCAAATGGGTTAATATATCAATTAGGTTAAAAAATTAAAAGAAAAGTTAAATTACAAGTTTCAGCTCTTTGCAATCATTAACAAAGAACTAGCAGCAATTAAAAGCTGTAAAATTACTGGGTAGCAAAATGTTAATGAGCTCTGTAAATTTTGTAAGCCTATGCTAATGAGGCAAAAACTGTAAACAAGGATTTGTCTATTGGACCTCACCATCAAAATAACTTAAGCGTAGAACTTATTCATGTAGTTCGTCATACAGATGTACATTGTACAGAATGTATGATATCCTGAAACCTTTAAAGTCAATTTTTTCTTTCAATCCTGCTCAGGCAAAACCACTTCATCTAAAGAAGATGTTCATGTTCCTGCAGCCAACATGTCTGACCAGAAAGAAGCTGAAAATGTAAGTTTGTTGTTTTAGTTGTCATAACTTTGCTTACAGTTGTACTATATGTACATGTGCATGATAAATTGTACATAAAGGTATGCTGCTTTAATACGGATTCCAGTAACTCTTGAGATAATAATTAGCTCGGAGTTAGAAAAGAAATGATGGGAGTTTGAGACAGTTAGAGCGATTTTTGTATGACCTTGAAAAATGGTTCCAGTAAGTGCTCATTATTTGTTTTAACAGCCAATGGATGAAAAGGTCAAAAATGGCCTCTTCATTTTCCCACCAAAGACAACCCTAATATGGTCTTGGAGAAGGCATTGTTTGATTGGCTAATCATGTTGCAGTATGACGTCAAAGCGAAGTACTGGTTGATTTCCAGCAAGTTCTCGGGCATGAAGTTTTTTCAGCCGAGTGTTCCCTTAACCAACCAAAAGCCACCCGCATTTGTATCTGTTCGGTAAACCAATCAATTTGCTCTATTTCCGTTCTTTTGTTGTTTCTGTATTGTTCGCGCGTTTTCATTTCAAGGTCATATGTAAATCGCTCTAATAGACCCCTTCATGGTTGTTTTCAAAATTTTGACTAGGACCAGTGAGCGATAAACTGTTAACATGGCTGGAAAGAATGCCTTAAAATCTTAAAAGCTGCCAGGTTTGAAAGTGATTTTTTGGAAACTAACAAAGACATAGCTCTGCAAAGTTATGAAAATTTACAGGTGGGGAGCCAGATGTTGCCCCTACACGCACACCACCGCCACCACCATACGTACTTGTAAATGTCCACAAAATTTTGCAAGTTTGTGGGGAAAATAATATCTTTGGCACTTGCTTTGTGGATGTACCACCTTTGGATTACTGACTTACATGTACATGTACTAATCAAAAGCTGAAGGAAAAAATGTGGAAGGTCTATTGTAGTACCTGTAAGTATTAATATAAAAGTTAAGACCCATCCATGTAGGTACATGTTCAAATTTGAGTAAGGTAAATTCTCTAAAACACAACTAAATTCATGATTCTTTTTCTCCCTTTTCCTCCCATTTTCTCCTGTTGAACCCAGACATGGCTGAGAGAGTTTGCTTACAGGCTATGTGTGTATGACCACTGATTCTCCAAGATGATTTTTGTGTGGAATTGTTGAGAAGAACTGATAATTACGAGAAGGATCAAATTATTGATCTTTCCTGGAAAAGTCATAGTTTATATACCTTCATGTACATGTTCCCTGTTAGTGTTTCTGCATAATGTCTTGTTGCATGAAGAACTAGACACATCCAAGTAAAATTTAATTCTGTCTTTTTATACACTATGACAATAATATTTAGTTTAAAAGAAAGCTGGAAGAAATGAGAGAAAAGAGGAGAATAAACAAGAAACTAGGGTGAGTTTAATTAGGAATTCAAGGGTAGTTAAATGTCAATTTGTACAAAAATTACAGGAGAGTAAGTACACTGTAGATATACACATGACTGTGATTCTCATCTACGTGTCCATTACATGTAGTTGCACTAAAAATTATTATTGTTTGGTCTCCTTTCTCAATTTCCCTGCTGATTTTAAGAAAACTTTATCATATTGTTAGAAGCTTTCATAGTAGAAAATATTGATATTATTTTATTGATCTGTGAAGAGGGGAAAAAATTCCATTATTGTTGTGGAGGTGAACCTGTGACTTACTACTGCACAATCAATGCTTTACTGTTTGAACTGCATACCAAGGTGTTATAGGTCAAAACTGAATTGTAGTTATTTGTGGTCTTTTTCTCCTAGCTCTAATATTTTAATTATCTGTGATTTAGGGCTAGGAGACAAAGGAAATTGATAATCAACCTTAATTGAAAAATTTTAACCTAAATATTTAATTATGAGCTATAATATAAATTATGCACAAGACCAGCTGGAAGTACAAAATTAATGTAGGCCACACAAAATCTCTTCATTACAGCTGTAGGTGGAACATGTTCTTGGTTCTTGATCAAATACTTGTACAAAATAGTAAAATAAAATCATTACTACAATCTATACTGTCTCTTTTGTCATTGTTATTAAATTTATCTTGCAAAAAGTTCCATTAAACTGTGGCTTGTATCTTTTCTTGTATAGGAAAGTAAAAAGTCTGGGTGCAGTAGATAGTGATGATGATGATTCCGCTGCTTCTTGGGTGGCCAAGAGCAGGAAGAAGGAGAACGAAAAAAGCCTGGCTGAGAAACGAGTAAGTTACCATCATAGTTCATAAATCTTGAAAAGGTCTTGAATTTTGATAGTCGTCTTGAAAAGTCCTTGAATTTGGTTAATTCATTTACATTTGGCAGAGCTAAACATAGTGGCAGTGACCGAGAATGCAAATACCTTCCATTTTCAGATCTGGGTACTGCTTCTGATTGGTCGTGCCACGTGGGAAATTTGCTTCAACCAATCAGAAGCACTACCCAGATCTGGGTAGTGACTCGTCATCAGTATGGAATTTCTGTGGTCAT